ATAAAGTGTTTTAGTATATTAAAGTAGCATAAAAGGGAAAAAGCTCAGTACAGTTCCTGAGTAAATAGTTCCACCACTGTAGTTTGTGGCTAACTATGTGCAGATAAAAGTAATGTATTAAGGATAACGATTAAAGATACTAACATTTCTAGAAACTGCCTTTCTTCTGTTTCAGTGGACCGAGTTCTCCATGTACAACTAGACTCAAGAGTACACAGAAGACACGAGAGAAGATTCCTACAAGCAAACGCTGCTTTAAGAGAATAAATGTCTTCCTGTGCAAAACCTGTAACATGTTTCTCTGATCAAATTGTGAAATAAACATTGTTGCCTTCTGAATCATGAGCTGAAGTCTGAATTTTTGATCAAACTTTAACCGTGCAATACAAATAAAGGCGACAGAAGAAGATGGACCAGAAATCATTTTATTAACTCATCACCGACTACATTGGAAAGATACAAAAACTCAACAAGTGTTCAAACCATGGGAGGCGTGTGGTGCAGTGGGTTGAGCGTTGGTGTTCAGATCACAGGTCACAGGTTCAAACCCCACTGCAGTCAGCATATCCAAGTGTCCCTGGGCAAGACACTTCATCCCAAATTGCTCCTGTGGGAATTGCCCACAGTATTGAGTATGTAAGTCGCTTTGGATAAAAGCGTCTAACAAGTGTAATGTAATGGCTCACATGTTGTTCTACATTTCCAACCAGCTGACAGAAGAACACTCACTTTGTGCAGGTAAAAGTGCATTGTCTGTCATAAAAACCAACTGGTCTGCTTCTGTTGTGATGAATCTAAAACTGAAATAGCTGGAATTACCGGCAGATTGTTAGTGGTGATAATCAGTTTTCTGAACATTAATGATGTAGTTATGAAACTTCATGGGGAAAAAAATACCCATTTTCCACATTGTTTCCTTTAGAAAAAGGCCTGTGAGCTGCCATAAGGTGTGCTGTAGTTGTGCAGTGCTGCGCATACTTCCAACTGAACCAGCTGACTCAAGAACATCAATTTTGTGCAGGTAAAATTGTGTTGTTTATCATAAACTGTCTGCTTCTGTTGTGATGAATCTAAAACTGAAATAGCTGGAATTACCGGCAGATTGTTAGTGGTGATAATCGGTTTTCTGAACATTTGATGATGCACATATGTTTCAGAAAAAGACTGAATAATAGCATAACACATTTCAACCTAATTTCCCTCCGTAGCAAAACACCTGAGCTGCCCTAAGCTGTGTCGAGTCATGCAGTGCTGCGCATACTTCCAACCAAACCAGCTGACAGAAGAACACTCACTTTGTGCAGGTAAAAGTGCATTGTCTGTCATAAAATTAAACTAGCTTCTGTGTGAAATATGATGTAGAAATGTGTCATATCTTGCTGGGTTTGTTCAGAATCCAATATTGATTCCCCTGACTTAATTTATAGACTCATGACATGTATCATTTAAGGGCTTGACTAGACTTGCTAGGATGTACAAAGACAAACGGTTAATGCACACAGATAATAAACAGAGTTAAGCTGATTGCTGACAAAGTAGTAACTATAGCTGTGCTAAGCTGTTACAACCACAGTATTTGCTTTTCTTTGCACTTATCAAATGTCCTCTCTTTCAGATGATCGTGGGACTCATGGACACTGATCTGAAGGAGAACTTGTTTGTTCGAAAAACATTTCACATTGTAAAAAGACACTGATCCATTGAAATAAAGTCCCAACTGCCTGATAACTGGAACTAGTGGTGTCTTTTGTTGGGCCTGTATCACATCAAAGCAATATCTAAACACAACTTTATTTTATATAATGTACTAAACTAAAACCACTTGCCGATCTCTTTCAACCTTGAGAAATGCACTATAGACCCATAATATTTAAGCGTCTTTGAGCATTAGGAAAAACGCTATTTTAAAACCCATTTATTATATGTACAGCAAGTTGTGCCAAACAAGACTGCACCCGGCTTCCTCTAAACGTTCAAATGTTCACCTTTTGTTACTGGGCTGTTCTCAATTGTCTTGGTCTGATTTTACACACTAGCTTTTGAGGAATTCAAATAAATGTAAAACTGAATTCAAACTAATGATGTGGGGACACTGGATGTTTAAGGGATGAAAATACCAGTGCAGATATTTGCTTCAAACATGGCAGTCCTTTCATAGATGAGCCTCGTGTTGGGCTGGTGTTTACATGTTTCTTGGTTTTATGTAAACCTAATCCTGCGAACAGGTCACATAATGGTAATAAGCAACACAAAGGTACCAACAAATCTATACTTGGTCTGTTAGCATGTAGGTGGGCGAATTAGACTGTCTTTTGATCCCACAGTCATACTTTTTTCACTAATGTTCCCCTGACCATGAGTGGATTATGAGATTAGGCCCCACCACCTCTCCTACCTATGGGCAGAGCTATAGTTGTGTAGCTATTGAATGTTGCTCTAGTCTAGTAGTTATGTGCTCAAAGGCTGAAGTAGCATATCAGCCACAGACTTTTACAGAGGCAGGCTGTAAGTCTATCTCTCAACAAATAATGTGTGGTAAGCCTTGAGGGGTTGCTGAAAGAAAGGGGCTTTTGATACTTCCTTTTACTGTGTGCACCACTATATGCAAATTATGAACCACTTTCAAGATGTCAAGTGCAAGCTTTCTGGACAGGACTTGCCTACAGTAAACCTTGAGGTGCAAGAACATATTTGACAGTAAAGCAGTGAGATTCATGGTCATAACTTGTGCTTCAGCATAATATGCAAATTCTGAACCACTTTCATTGAAGCTGTCATGTACAGTATTTCAGTCAGACAACTCACGTGTTTCTTTAACATGTTTATTAGAAGCGGCATATAGTTGAGTTTGGCGACTAGGCTCGGGCCTCATCACTCCATAGATATACATAGCATGATGAGTGATGATTAAATAACTAACCCCCGAGCCTACAGGTGGAAGCTGGGGTGGAAGCTGGGTGGTGGTGGGGCAGGCAAGCAGCAGTGACGTAGAGGTAGCTGCAGCAAAGCAGCAGCAAGCAATGCATAGAGAGAGATCTGGCAGGTTAAATAGAGCGGCATATTAAGAAGACTCTGTTTGGTTGGTTGTAACGCAAGGGGCGTTATGTATGAATGCAGCATAAGTGCTCGAGTTGACTGCCTGAACTAGCTCACAGGCTTCGCCCCATTTCAGTCAGACAACTCACGTGTTTCTTTAACATGTTTATTAGAAGCAGCATATAGTTGAGTTTGGCGACTAGGCTCGGGCCTCATCACTCCATAGATATACATAGCATGATGAGTGATGATTAAATAACTAACCCCCAAAACTGCGTGGAGATTAGATACTATCCCCCAAAACTGCGTAGCCCGAGCCTGACGCTGGTGATGTAAATCTGATAAGTAGAGGGCCTGGCGAGCTGCCACGTGGCCATTTCCCCTAAGCACAGCGGCTTTAAGGGGAATATACTTAGTGAGACTGCTATGTGTAGGCCTGAGGAATAGCCCAGAGCCGATTCTTCCCCGAGCACAGCAGCTTTGAGAGGAATATACTACCTATATATGCTACCTAATGAAACTGCTATGTGAAGGCCCGGGAACAGCCCGAAAAGCCATCCCCCTTAAGTACCACGGCTTTGAGGGGAATATACTAGAGAGACTGCTATGTGTAGGCCTGGAAGTGACCAGTGCCGACCCCCCCCCCCCCCCAGCACCGCGGCTTTGAGGGGAATATACTACCTATCGAGACTGCTGTGTCTAGGTCTAGAGGCAGCGACAATGAGCTTTCCCCCCCCAAGCATGCAGCTGGGGAATATACTATAATGAAATAAATATAATCTAACCCAGCAACCACCTGGTATGCAATAACAGAATTCCACAGATATACATCTTTGAACCTTTACTCATTCATCGAGTAATACAAGAGTTCATGGTTGTTTGTGCTGAAAGGATCTCATTCCTGTGAAGCATGATAGCGCTGGTGGGCAGAAGATGACCGACGGCCCAGGATACTCAGGGTTGAGGTAGGCTGATATAGAGCTGCAGTTGTAGCTGCGCAGATTCTTAAACAGTGGGAATAGCGATCTGGGGGCAGATCGCAGCTTAGGCAGAGATCACGCAGTTTGGAGGAGAACCCTCGTCGTTGGGTTTGCAGCCATCGAATAAACATGGGTGCCGACCCATGTGTCAGAAGGCAATGATGCGAGAAGTTCAGCATGGAAGATAAAGGACAAAGAAAACAGTGTTAGTTTTAGCAATGATTATTCGGGGTTCCTTGACTCCCCAAACAGAACTGTCAGACATTGAATGTTTCAAAACAGTGTGTATATTTGATCTACAAAGTTAATTCAGTAAGGGTCAGATTATGCTGAGGATTAAAAGGTGAGAGGTCTGTGTATATTCGCCACCTGAGAAACCAATAGAAAGCTGTAACAACTGCATCTGACGTTTATCAATGTATAGTGAAAGCCCTTTGCCTGAATTTATACATTAACCTTTGCACGGGTGCAAAGTTAAGAGGCAGTCTTTATCATTGCGTGGAGGACGTGCCTTCTTAAGGCCCTTGAGGAGCAAATGAATGAACTCTAGCGTGGCTTAATACTTAGCACTTGAAGATGCAGGATTCGAATGAAAATACAATTAATGCATGAACAACTATTATATCTATTGCATAAGTACACAGAGGAGGTTGGGACAGAAGAAGATAAAAGTACCAAGCTGAATTGTATGCTTTGAATCATGCTCTTGGTTGGAGGCAGAATATGGGAAATCCTTGAGGGGCTTGACGTGTAGATCCAGAGTCATTTGATGGAACGAAGGGCATGGCAAGCTGGTGGGGCAAACCACTCATTGTGAAATCCCCCAAACCAGCAGAAGGCGCAGCATCTGTAAGTAACTAGAGGATCTGAAGACACTGCAAGGTCATTATAAAAGAATGAACATAATGTGACCGGATGTCTCCTCCCTCTGTGACGCTGCTTGGCACCATGCCAGCGCACCTGCTATTTAAGTGGAGGTGACAAATCTGCTCCCTCCCCTCCGCTTCTCCTTTGTGGCTGCAGCCTGGTGTGGCAGCTCGCGCATCACACTCTCTACCAGACAGGTAAAGCATCTTGCATTCTGTCATTTATTCATGGGCACAAGCAACACCCGGCTTGACACTATACTCTGTTTTAGCGCAGCTGACGCCCGATGCTTTTGAGGAGGATTTGTTCATTGTGTGATTTTGTTTATTTTCTTTTGTTAACGTTTGGTTGAATTAGTTTACTCATGTTTGTTGTTTACGTTTATTTAGATTTGGTTTATTTTGAGTTGTTTTCCTTTTGTTTATCTTTCTCCAACCGAGTTTTATAATCTTGCTGATTTTTAACTGTTTCTCTTGTGCCGGACAGGTGCTGTGGGCTCGAGGCGGCAAACCCAATCCCTGGTGGTGGTGTTCTTCACGTGTCCGTTTTGTTTGGTGTGCAGTGTCACGGGTGATTTTGATTTTACCCCTTCCTCCCCGTTTAGTTAATTGCCGCCTTGGTAAACCCCAGCACTGTCCTGTCCTGATTATTCTGGATTCAAAGAAAGTAGATCCTATTCCATATTATCTCCATCCATGTACCATTTTGCACTGCCCAGTGATGATTCAGCTATTTAAAGTATGACGCAGCAAACATGGCATGCTTTTATGTGAACAGGATATCAGTAGGCTATTGTAAAGCAATGTGATATTACAATCTAATATTGCTTTACAACACATCAATTCCACATTCCTGCTTTTTGCTATTAAAGGCTTGTTGTTGAAACAAGCCTTGGGGGGCAGGTCTGGTTGTAGCCTTGGGCAATACAGTGAGAATTTAAGAAAAGTTCATTCTGCTGCAGAAACCAGACCTGGAAACTCCAAGTCTCTCATCTTGAAAGAAGCAGCAGTCGGTTACAGCCATCTCACAGGTAACTATCTCTATCTTCTAAATAATATTTTCTTGTACTTTGCTTTAAAGTACTCCATTTTATATTTCAGCACATCCCTTGAATGATAGTGTGCCAGAATGTTTTAGAAGAATTAAAAAAAAAAAAAATGTTGCAGGCGCAGACTTGTACATGTCTCTCAGTAAAGAATGTACCGAATCATGTACTGACGTGTCAAAACCCACTAGATTTATACTGCAAGCATATGGCATTACAAACGCAACATCTTTGGTCAATTTATATGTTACTACTAGAGTGTGTATAAGACAGATTCAAGCAATAAAAGGTATGCATTAAGACATAATTCCTATTTTCTATAGTTTGCACTGAAAGGAATGACCTATTCTGCCTTTTACTAAAGTAATTTTGGATTATTTAATCTTGTATCTGTTTTTCATATAACACATGTAAGAGGATACAAAGAGAATGTGTCAGGTGATATTTCCTTGGAGGTGTTGACCTAGACAAGATAACCAGTTTTTTTTTCTGTCACAAGCCTCCCAGCCCCCTGTCATTTTGGCTTTTCTATACATGCTATACATTCTGGGGGGCAGGTCTGGTTGTAGCCTTGGGCAATACAGTGAGAATATAAGAAAAGTTCATTCTGCTGCAGAAACCAGACCTGGAACCTCCATGTCTCTCATCTTGAAAGAAGCAGCAGTCGGTTACAGCCATCTCACAGGTCACTATCTCCAACCATCTTTTAAACACAACACAGCTTTGCCATTTTAAACAAGACTAGCAATTATCTTATTTTGTCTTTTTTTGTGTGTCTTTCTGAAGCCTCTTGTCAACATGCCTGCATCTGGATCATGCACCTCTATCATCAACCTGCGCTTCCAAGAAGGCAGCGAGGGAAGTCCTTCCAACCCTGCCAAGTTCAAGAACCAAGACTTTGCGCAGCTGAAAGATAACCACCTCCGCAGAGGCCGGCAGTTTGTGGACCGCACCTTCCCACCTGACAGCAGCTCTCTGGGAGACCTGCTGGAGCTCAGCAGTCGGCTGGAAGCCCAAGTGAAATGGCTTCGACCAGCAGTAAAATACTTTAAAATATATGATATCATAGTACACATATTTAAGGTTTTTCTTATGCAAATGTTTTTCTTACATGCTAGCTCTTATCTGATTCACTTCCTCTTTGTTGTGTCCAGGACATGCTTTTACTTGCACTAATAATATTTACTTGTACTTTGCTTTAAAGTACTCCATTTTATGTTTCAGCACATCCCTTGAATGATAGCGTGCTAGAATGTTTTAGAAGAATTAAAAAAAAAAAAAAAATGTTGCAGGCGCAGACTTGTACATGTCTCTTAGTAAAGAATGTACCGAATCATGTACTGACGCGTCAAAACCCACTAGATTTATACTGCAAGCATATGGCATTACAAACGCAACATCTTTGGTCAATTTATATTTTACTACTAGAGTGTGTATAAGACAGATTCAAGCAATAAAATGTATGCATTAAGACATAATTCCTATTTTCTATAGTTTGCACTGAAAGTAATGACCAATTCTGCCTTTTACTAAAGTAATTTTGGATTATTTAATCTCGTATCTGTTTTTCATAATGATGTTTTGTTGCTTTAAAAAAAAATCTCACTTTGTAAGAAATATTTTCATGTTTGGTTTGTAAAACCTGTACTTCTCGTGACATGTCTTTATTGTCCTCTTAAATTGTTCTTTAGGTGACAGAGGAACACTCTTTGCCGGTGGGAAGTCTCACTTATCCTACTTTCAAAATGGGTGGAGAAAGCATAACCAGAGCATTGTTCTTGTAAAATCCACTTTTAGAGAAATAAACTTAAATCTATTATACATAAATTAAGAATGTATTGACATAACATGAATATGCTTCTGACTATTCTTAGATTTGACCAAAAAGCACTGCTTAAAATACATTTGAGTTTTCAGATATCCCAGCAGACAATGACCTTTTTTTGCACTTTGTTGGTTTAAAAAAAACAAAGCATTCATAGCAAAAGATATTAGTAGTAGTCTTAATAGTATTTTACATTTAAGTTTCTCCACAGTTCACAACTATGTAAACAAGTTCCTGCACATCTAAAGTAAAGACAGTGAGAACAAATACATGAAAATAAGAGAAATAACACATGTAAGAGGATACAAAGAGTATGTGTCAAGTGATATTTCCTTGGAGGTGTTGACCTAGACAAGATAACCAGTTTTTTTGTCTGTCACAAGCCTCCCAGCCCCCTGTCATTTTGGCTTTTCTATACATGCTATACATTCTGGGGGGCAGGTCTGGTTGTAGCCTTGGGCAATACAGTGAGAATATAAGAAAAGTTCATTCTGCTGCAGAAACCAGACCTGGAACCTCCATGTCTCTCATCTTGAAAGAAGCAGCAGTCGGTTACAGCCATCTCACAGGTAACTATCTCCAACCATCTTTTAAACACAACACAGCTTTGCCATTTTAAACAAGACTAGCAATTCTCTTATTTTGTCTTTTTTTGTGTGTCTTTCTGAAGCCTCTTGTCAACATGCCTGCATCTGGATCATGCACCTCTATCATCAACCTGCGCTTCCAAGAAGGCAGCGAGGGAAGTCCTTCCAACCCTGCCAAGTTCAAGAACCAAGACTTTGCGCAGCTGAAAGATAACCACCTCCGCAGAGGCCGGCAGTTTGTGGACCGCACCTTCCCACCTGACAGCAGCTCTCTGGGAGACCTGCCGGAGCTCAGCAGTCGGCTGGAAGCCCAAGTGAAATGGCTTCGACCAGCAGTAAAATACTTTAAATAATATTATATCATAGTACACATATTTAAGGTTTTTCTTATGCAAATGTTTTTCTTACATGCTAGGTCTTATCTGATTCACTTCCTCTTTGTTGTGTCCTGGACATGCTTTTACTTGCACTAATAATATTTACTTGTACTTTGCTTTAAAGTACTCCATTTTATGTTTCAGCACATCCCTTGAATGATAGTGTGCCAGAATGTTTTAGAAGAATTAAAAAAAAAAAAAATGTTGCAGGCGCAGACTTATACATGTCTCTCAGCAAAGAATGTACCGAATCATGTACTGACGTGTCAAAACCCACTAGATTTATACTGCAAGCATATGGCATTACAAACGCAACATCTTTGGTCAATTTATATTTTACTACTAGAGTGTGTATAAGACAGATTCAAGCAATAAAAGGTATGCATTAAGACATCATTCCTATTTTCTATAGTTTGCACTGAAAGGAATGACCAATTCTGCCTTTTACTAAAGTAATTTTGGATTATCTAATCTCGTATCTGTTTTTCATAATGATGTTTTGTTGCTTTAAAAAAAAAAATCTCACTTTGTAAGAAATATTTTCATGTTTGGTTTGTAAAACCTGTACTTCTCGTGACATGTCTTTTTTGTCCTCTTAAATTGTTCTTTAGGTGACAGAGGAACACTCTTTGCCGGTGGGAAGTCTCACTTATCCTACTTTCAAAATGGGTGGAGAAAGCATAACCAGAGCATTGTTCTTGTAAAATCCACTTTTAGAGAAATAAACTTAAATCTATTATACATAAATTAAGAATGTATTGACATAACATGAATATGCTTCTGACTATTCTTAGATTTGACCAAAAAGCACTGCTTAAAATACATTTGGGTTTTCAGATATCCCAGCAGACAATGACCTTTTTTCTGCACTTTGTTGGTTTAAAAAAACAAAGCATTCATAGCAAAAGATATTAGTAGTCTTAATAGTATTTTACATTTAAGTTTCTCCACAGTTCACAACTATGTAAACAAGTTCCTGCACATCTACAGTAAACACAGTGAGAACAAATACATGAAAATAAGAGAAAGAACACATGTAACATATTGCCATATTTTATCCAATATGCTCCTTTAGATAACTTTTTACTTATTGTTCCTTATAGCTTTGTGAAGCACCTTGAGATTACGTTGTTTTTAAAGTGTGCTATATAAATCAAATGTATTATTATGTAAGAGGATACAAAGAGAATGTGTCAGGTGATATTTCCTTGGAGGTGTTGACCTAGACAAGATAACCAGTTTTTTTTTCTGTCACAAGCCTCCCAGCCCCCTGTCATTTTGGCTTTTCTATACATGCTATACATTCTGGGGGGCAGGTCTGGTTGTAGCCTTGGGCAATACAGTGAGAATATAAGAAAAGTTCATTCTGCTGCAGAAACCAGACCTGGAACCTCCAAGTCTCTCATCTTGAAAGAAGCAGCAGTCGGTTACAGCCATCTCACAGGTAACTATCTCCAACCATCTTTTAAACACAACACAGCTTTGCCATTTTAAACAAGACTAGCAATTCTCTTTTGTCTTTTTTTTGTGTGTCTTTCTGAAGCCTCTTGTCAACATGCCTGCATCTGGATCATGCACCTCTATCATCAACCTGCGCTTCCAAGAAGGCAGCGAGGGAAGTCCTTCCAACCCTGCCAAGTTCAAGAACCAAGACTTTGCGCAGCTGAAAGATAACCACCTCCGCAGAGGCCGGCAGTTTGTGGACTGCACCTTCCCACCTGACAGCAGCTCTCTGGGAGACCTGCTGGAGCTCAGCAGTCGGCTGGAAGCCCAAGTGAAATGGCTTCGACCAGCAGTAAAATACTTTAAAATATATGATATCATAGTACACACATTTAAGGTTTTTCTTATGCAAATGTTTTTCTTACATGCTAGCTCTTATCTGATTCACTTCCTCTTTGTTGTGTCCAGGACATGCTTTTACTTGCACTAATAATGTTTACTTGTACTTTGCTTTAAAGTATATTTCAGCACATCGCTTGAATGATAGTGTGCCAGAATGTTTTAGAAGAATTTAAAAAGAAAAATGTTGCAGGCGCAGACTTATACATGTCTCTCAGCAAAGAATGTACCGAATCATGTACTGACGTGTCAAAACCCACTAGATTTATACTGCAAGCATATTGCATTACAAACGCAACATCTTTGGTCAATTTATATTTTACTACTAGAGTGTGTATAAGACAGATTCAAGCAATAAAATGTATGCATTAAGACATCATTCCTATTGTCTATAGTTTGCACTGAAAGGAATGACCAATTCTGCCTTTTACTAAAGTAATTTTGGATTATTTAATCTCGTATCTGTTTTTCATAATGATGTTTTGTTGCTTTAAAAAAAAAAATCTCACTTTGTAAGAAATATTTTCATGTTTGGTTTGTAAAACCTGTACTTCTCGTGACATGTCTTTTTTGCCCTCTTACATTGTTCTTTAGGTGACAGAGGAACACTCTTTGCCGGTGGGAAGTCTCACTTATCCTACTTTCAAAATGGGTGGAGAAAGCATAACCAGAGCATTGTTCTTGTAAAATCCACTTTTAGAGAAATAAACTTAAATCTATTATACATAAATTAAGAATGTATTGACATAACATGAATATGCTTCTTACTATTCTTAGATTTGACCAAAAAGCACTGCTTAAAATACATTTGGGTTTTCAGATATCCCAGCAGACAATGACCTTTTTTCTGCACTTTGTTGGTTTAAAAAAACAAAGCATTCATAGCAAAAGATATTAGTAGTAGTCTTAATAGTATTTTACATTTAAGTTTCTCCACAGTTTACAACTATGTAAACAAGTTCCTGCACATCTACAGTAAAGTGAGAACAAATTAATTAATAAATTATGCGGGGCAGGTCTGGTTGTAGCCTTGGGCAATACAGAGAGAATATAAGAACAGTTCATTCTGCTGCAGAAACCAGACCTGGAACCTCCAAGTCTCTCATCTTGAAAGAAGCAGCAGTCGGTTACAGCCATCTCACAGGTAACTATCTCCAACCATCTTTTAAACACAACACAGCTTTGCCATTTTAAACAAGACTAGCAATTCTCTTATTTTGTCTTTTTTTTGTGTGTCTTTCTGAAGCCTCTTGTCAACATGCCTGGATCTAGATCATGCACCTCTATCATCAACCTGCGCTTCCAAGAAGGCAGCGAGGGAAGTCCTTCCAACCCTGCCAAGTTCAAGAACCAAGACTTTGCGCAGCTGAAAGATAACCACCTCCGCAGAGGCCGGCAGTTTGTGGACCAGGCCTTCCCACCTGACAGCAGCTCTCTGGGAGACCTGCTGGAGCTCAGCAGTCTGATTAAGCTCAGCGGTCGGCAGGAGGCCCAAGTGAAATGGTTTCGACCAGCAGTAAAATACTTTAAAATATATTATATCATAGTACACATATTTAAGGTTTTTCTTATGCAAATGTTTTTCTTACATGCTAGCTCTTATCTGATTCACTTCTTCTTTGTTGTGTCCAGGAAATCCTGAAACTTCAAAACAACCCCAGTGAAGCTATTTTCTGTACCAAAGGAGCCTCCCGCTTTGACTTTGGTCAAGGCGCTGTAGGTAAGCAAGGAGACAACACAAAAAGAATACCTATTTATTATGTATATAGACTTTTTGCACTACTTTTTACTTTGTATTTTTGTATTTTATTATATATGTTGGATTGTTGAAGGAGCTCAGGTCATAAGATTTTCATTGCCATTTCTACAATGTGGCTTTGTGCATATGACAATAACATCTTTGAATCTTTGAAAAAAACCTTGTTAAGGAAAACATTTCGCTTAATTTGTTGACTTCATTCACCAGGTAACTGCTGGTTTCTGGCTGCGATTTCCTCACTGACCTTCTGTAAAGACCTGATGTGGCAAGTCGTGCCTATGGATCAGAACTTCAACAACCATGCAGGGATATTTCACTTCAAGGTAAGGAATACATTTCTGTAAGTGTCTTTAAACAATGTCTTCACAACTAGTCATCAGCTAACTTGTCATTTTTTACTCGTCCTTTCTGTGTCAGTTCTGGAGGTTTGGCAAGTGGGAGGATGTTGTCATTGATGACTTACTGCCAGTAATGAACAATCAGCTGCTGTTTGTGCACTCCAAAGATGGAAATGAGTTCTGGGCTCCTCTGATGGAGAAAGCTTATGCCAAGTATGAAACCCTCTCACAACACATGAAATACTACATATTTTTTGAATAGCATCTTTTTCTCCGCTTTAGTACTACTTACATAGACCATACATTCACGTTGCATTCCTTTCTGTATCCTAAAGCTTTTACATTTATCACTTATAGTCAGATTTACATAAAATTCAATTTTTAAGATGTTGAAAATGTAAAAACAGATGTAATAGCTGTTGACACTCTTTCTATAGTATAGTAGATACACAATATACTGTATATCCTAAATTCCCTCTCTAAAAGCTTTTGACTATTATGTCAATGAAACAAACATTTTTAACCTGGCTTTATCAGTGTTCAGATTTATTTTCCAGAAATGTATACCTATTATTACTTATTAAATTAGATAGTGCCTTATTGGCAGATTTAAACATACAATTTAAGAAAGTGTGTTATAAAAGAATGAAAAAGTAATCAAGTGGTGAAGTTACCTTTCATACCTTATCCCTTTCATAGACCTATTGTGTCCCCTAATCTCACCATGGATTATAGATGTCTTTTTTTATGTCTCCATCAGGGTGTGCGGATCGTACACAGACATGAATGCTGGTTCTCCATCAGAGGCCTGCAAGGATTTCTGTGGAGGCGTGAACATGTATTACCAACTCCAGGAAGTCCACCGTGCAGGCCATGATGACAAGCTGTGGAGCTCACTGTCCAACGCCAGCAGCTGCAACTCCATGATCTGCTGCGGAACAGCCCAGAAAGGGGTAAGAACTCATTGCTTTAGGGCAGAGAAGGGGTGGGGGGGCAATAAACCTTCAGGTCACTGGTGTGATTTAACTTGTTTGTCTCTTTCAGAGTGTGTTGGTGAACACTGTATCCAAATCTGGTATTGTTGATGCACATGCCTATTCTGTCACAGCAGTCACTGAGGTAAGGTGAACATAGAGAATATTTTAAAATAAAAGATTTTGGAGTTGCCTGCAATGTTTTGTTTCGATTGTGTCAATTTCTCATTTCCCATTAAGATTGACTATCACGGCTCCAAAGTGAGGCTGGTGCGACTCTTCAACCCTTGGGGCGGAGAAGAGTGGACCGGAAACTGGAGTGACAAGTACGTTCATTAATCATACATATGTACATCTTAAAGCAAGACATATAGCCTATACACTAAACTACAACTAATGACTTTGTATTTCTCAGGTCCGACATGTGGCAAAGAGTTAGCCCAAGTGTGAGGGCAAAGTGTGAGGACCGCGACGATGGAGAGTTCTGGTAAATTTGCCGTATCATGGAGTTTTCACACTGTTTTAGTTTGTTACCACCTGTACAGTAATAATGCAGAACCATGTGCTTTCCTGGTCATAAAAAAACAGCTCAGGGCCACTAGTGATCAAACACTTCAGAAGGTCTCTATATAGTGAAGCCTGACAATGAATCAGCAAGAACAACATGTACTTTATTGATGAAGATAAGCACACAGTAGAAATAAAGGCAATCTTGTCGTTTCAGTCCTTTAGTTGGATATGGACTGCCATTTTTGTTTTGTTTATGACTCCCAATGGTTGACATCTGGCCTTTTCTTTTGCATATCTTTCTCTTTCCAGGATGGAGTTAGAGGACTTCTGTCGTCATTTCTACATGTTGTTCATCTGCTGTGAGAACCCCAACTTTATCGATGGCGACCTCAACTGCCAGTGGCAAAGCCAGATTTACGATGGCAAATGGACAGCTGGGATATCTGCAGGCGGCAGCTGGTCTAACCGTGAGATCAGATTGTTTTCCTTTGTGCAAGTGCAAAAAACCACCACACTGTCTCTGGAGTGTCATGTGACATTGTTCATGTTTTTCATCGCCCGTAGGTTCCTTTGACATAAACCCTCAGTATCGCATGAAGGTGAATATCATTGACAAGTCAGAGAAGGAAGACATGAACATCGTCCTTACTCTGATGCAGAAATCTAGACAGCAGAATCGCAATAGGCAATCAACTTACCCAATTGGGATCAACGTCTTTAAGGTTTGCATCCTGTTTTCTTTGGTTTATTAAATATTAAATAATGATTAAGTAGTACTCTGCATTTATAACTCATTTTAAAACTTGCATCTTTCCTCCCTTTTCACATCCAACAGATTCCACCAGGGGTAAGAACAAATATCACACTTTGCCTGTGCACTAAAAGCTCATTTCCACATTTAAATAACCTTTAGTTAGGAGTTTTATACAACTAAATAAGGTTTATATTCTTCCCAGACAACATCGGGCCGCCTGCGTATCGACCAACTTTACCAATTGCAAAGACAGAGGGAACCGAGGTACACCAATGCGAGGGAGCTGGTTGAGATGTACAGCATGGAGCCTGGAGAGTATTTGATCGTCCCCTCCACCGTGGATCCCTACCAGAGTGCAGATTTCATTCTAACCATCTTCTCCAAGACCGATGCTCAGATCACGTAAGGACTTGCTCATATTTCAGGAGACCTTTATACCAAAGCAAGAACTGCTCATTTCAATATCTGACCCATTCTTTGCTGAAATGATTGAAAGCAATACACCGTGCATATGACATGGTGATGCTCAAGTCACATCCATGGGGTACATTTTGGGGTAATTTGAGAATATAGTAAGCTGAGGATAAGTTTACTTTCTACTTATTTAGAGGCTGTTATTTTACTAACCCACACAGTGTGTAGAAGTAGCTGATATCTGATACTAAATTAGCACTTAAAACAACTTTAAAGTATGCTAGTCAAAAGTCAAACATTTATTTTCGAAACATTTTATTATTATAGATTTGTATTAACATATTCTCCTATGCATCCAGTCCCCATGATGAAGATGATGAGGACGAGCATGACCACGAGGAGGGGGGGGACCTAGTTCTTCCTGAGGTATAGGAAACAAAAATAAATAGTGAATACTTTAGCTGCGAGTTAGAGGGGGCAAGTTTAGTTTGCCGATTTGTTGTCTGATTCATTAACTTGTCGTCTTTAGGTACCAACCGACAACAAAAAGCCTGAGGAGGAAACCTATGACAACAAGGCGATCCGTGATCTCTTCAACCGATACGCTGATCAGGTGGGTCATTTTTCTCACACGTCCACCCGCTTGTCCATTTAAACCTTCTCTGAGCTCAAACAATCATACTTTTTTCATCTTAGTTTGGTGAGCTGAAGGACAGGCAGCTCAGGATGCTCCTGAATGACAACTTCCCGCATGGTGAGTTGCTATCACATGTGCATTGAAAAACATTCAAAATCCTAATTCATTTCTTGTGCATCACAGATTTTTCAGACCTGTTACTTTGGGGATTTGAGTGTGTCTGTGTCTGTCATTCACAGGCACCTGGAATGGCTTTGGTTACGATACCTGCAGTAGCATGATCGCTATGTTTGATGTATCCTTTAAAGAAAAAATGTTTTATCTTGTAAATCACAACACTAGAAAGTCAAGATTTAAATACCGATATGTAAGCAGCAATTTTTTAAATGTCATCTTTCATCCGTTTATGATGAGACATCCTTAACGTGCAAAGGTCGACAAAAAAATGACAATGACCCTCGTCAAGTTCACATCTCTCTGGAAGAAAATAAATGAATACAAGGTAATGCAGAAAAAATGGGCACTAAACAGACAAATGTAACCTCATATTTATCAATCAGAATCAATATACTTGGAATGTATAATGTTATATTCATTATTTCCCCAAGATTCTTCTTTCAAAACAGTAGACTCAACTTATTTCAATAAACCTAACATGCATATTTAAGGTTCTAATTAAATTAAACATTGTTCTTGCAGCAACACTTTCATCGTGCAGATGTGAATAAGAATGGATCCCTGAGTGACACAGAGTTCAATGTGGCAATAAAGGCTGCAGGTAACACTAGTTTCCTATTTAAATACTGTTAAAACATGTTGATAAGCTTCTACCGACACAAAACAGGGAAACAGACTTCATATTCCGGACATTAACAGCAGTACTTGTCCTTCTTTCCTTGTCTCAGAACCAGAGATTGACCTTAACAGCGGTATGGTGAGGCTGATGACCTTCCGTTACTCAGCCTTTGAAGCCACCACCATGGAGGGCTTCATCTCACTCATGTTACGCCTGGGCAAAACAACAAGTGAGTGAGATTGCAACAACCAATCTAATCATTGTTAACAGTTTTGATACATTTTATTTGTTCAGAATGAAGCGGGCACTAGGTCTAAATGCTGCAAACTGAACAGCACACCGCTTTATGACAAATGTGTGCACAGTATCATATCTTATAGGATATTTCTCTATATTATTATATATTAGGGTTGGCTTTGGCACAGTGGGTTAGAGCGTTGATCATCAGATCAAGGGGCGTCGGGGAACATCTTTTTTCGAAACCGCCTCGGCTGCCACTGTGTCAGGTCGTTGTGACACTTCACCCTAATTTGCTCCTGTGGGTATTGTCCACAGTAATAACTGTTACATGTCTAATATGTGTAATATGTCGTGGAAAGCGCTTTGAGCACCTGGAAAAGTGCTCGAATAAAAATGTAATGAATTATTATTATTATATTAAAATGTGTTTTAATCTTATGTATGTCTGATCATCTTTACAGGTACCTTCAAGGACAAATCAACAGATGGAGTTATCCACATGTCTTGGGAGGAGGCAAGTCTGTTTCCACTTAATGCCATTTATTTTTCTTTCTCAAGACAACAAAACACAAAAAGTTAAGCATACATAATGACATAATCTGATAAAGATGTTAAGGAGTAACAAGTAAATATTTTACTTTTTAATAAAGTGTTTTAGTATATTAAAGTAGCATAAAAGGGAAAAAGCTCAGTACAGTTCCTGAGTAAATAGTTCCACCACTGTAGTTTGTGGCTAACTATGTGCAGATAAAAGTAATGTATTAAGGATAACGATTAAAGATACTAACATTTCTAGAAACTGCCTTTCTTCTGTTTCAGTGGACCGAGTTCTCCATGTACAACTAGACTCAAGAGTACACAGAAGACACGAGAGAAGATTCCTACAAGCAAACGCTGCTTTAAGAGAATAAATGTCTTCCTGTGCAAAACCTGTAACATGTTTCTCTGATCAAATTGTGAAATAAACATTGTTGCCTTCTGAATCATGAGCTGAAATCTGAATTTTTGATCACATTTTAACGCCAAACTTTAACCGTGCAATACAAATAAAGGCGACACAGAAGAAGGTGGACCAGAAATCATTTTATTAACTCATCACCGACTACATTGGAAAGATACAAAAACTCAACAAGTGTTCAAACCAGTGGCTCACATGTTGTTCTACATTTCCTCCATATTATAATGTTTCTTATATACATTCTCCTCATTCCTGTGTGTCATGTTACGAGGGGCTCTCCGTCAAAACTCATACTTACAAGTCAGTGTCCTTATTTCACAATTATAAATCAGAACTCCACAAATGTAAGTCCCAAAGAAAGAAAGATATTACTGCCCAGTTCTCTCTCGTCACTAGAGGCCATCAACACTCAGCTGTTTGAATCAACCCTCTGCAGCGTAGTGGAGAGGCAATATATAAAAAAAGAAATCGTCAACAAATCCAATGAAAGATTCAAATCAATCCTACTAACAATTCTGCATAGCCAAAGCCTGGCATAACTTTATTGTCACAGCTACTTCTATTCTTATCCAAAGCTTCTTTTACATCAATAAGAAAAAATGTTCTACTCATTTTTAATTGCTTTAAGTGCTGTTAATACCCAATAGTATACCAAATGTACTGCAAATAGTTCTCAAAAATGCCCTTTTTACTCATGTTTGAGGAACATTTGCTAACAATGTAGGGCTGCAACTAATAATAATTGTCTTTATATATATATCGATCATTTTCTAAATTAATAAAATAATCCTTTGGTCTATAAAATGTCAGGAAACTGTGAAAAAAGTCCTTCAGATTCTCTTAAAGTCAAAGGGAATGTCTTTAAATGTCTTACTATATGTCGGTCCAACACCCAAAAACAAGTTGTTTAATATTATTTAAAAACAGAGAAATACAAGAAATCTCCATATCTTAGAAAATCACAAGTTTTTTCCTGACATTTTTATATGAAAAACTACTTTATGATTCTCAAAATAGTAGTTAATGATCTTTCTGTTGATGGACTTATGGATAAGTTGACGTATCTTTGCAGCTCTACTACAGTAACCAATAACATTAGGAAATCATTGAGCCTTGAAAAGAAAATCTGTTTTTGGTAAACAGGGCAAAAGTATTGACAAAAGAGGAAACTAACTTATGTAGGTTTTGATCTTTTCATTTGATTTGTTGAGAAATAAATGACATTTCATTCGCCTCATCCTAGTTATTGAGATAGAGTTTATTTGAAACTCTTTGCTGCACAGCTATCAATCCTCCTCCTTCTCGATATACGTCTTACAGGCTGACCGTTCCATCTGTCTGGCCAGGTATCTCTCTCTGGCCGTACTCACAGCCTGATCCGTGCTGCGCTTTGCAAACTTGTTTCCCTTCTCCTCCGTTGTTTCCTCTTTCCCCTCACCTTCCTGATTCTGGTCATCGTCTTTTTCCCCTGTGTCCTCTCTGACTGCTTCATTCTTTTCTGGATCTTTTTCTTCCCCCCTCACTTCTTTCTCCTTTTCTGCTTCCTTATTTTCTGGATCTTTTTCTTCCCTCTTCACTTCTTTCTCCTTTTCTGGTTCCTTCTTTTCTGGATCTTTTTCTTCCCCCCTCACTTCTTTCTCCTTTTCTGGTTCCTTCTTTTCTGGATCTTTTTCTTCCCTCTTCACTTCTTTCTCCTTTTCTGGTTCCTTCTTTCTCTCCTTCTCTTCTTCCTGAACTTTGTCCTTTCGCTTGTCTTCATCTGGATTCCTCCTCATCTCTCTTTCCCCATTCCTATCCCTCTCTCTCTCCCTAGGGCTCCTATCCCTCTTCCTGTGCCTGTCTTCCCTCTCTGTATCCTTTCCTCTGCTTCTGTCATCATCTCGGCCTCTGTCTCTGTCTCTCCTTCCGTCCCTGTCGTCTCTTCTTCCTCCATGCCTGTCATCCCTTTCTCTTCCCCTGTCTCTGTTTCTGTCTCTATCTCTGTCCCGTGCTCGGTCTCTGTCTTGATCTCTGTGGCTCTTCTTATGTCTTTCTTTTTCCTTCTCTCTCTCCTTCTCATCTGCGCTCCCCGATGAAGGTGACCTCTGTCTGTATTGACGTTTTGAGTGTGCGAGGCCTGCCCCAGGCTTGCTAAACCCAGCTTTCTGCTCATGTCCCTCCTCACTGTCGCTGCAGGAACTTGGGATATTGTCATGGGATGTAGATGAGGGAACAGGTGACATCCTCTCCGTGTCTTTTGAAACCTTGGAGTTTTCAGTTCTGGGGAAGTACAGAGAGATGCAAATAAAGGTTCAGACATTTTCTTTTTAAATAATGTGTGTGCTTGTCGTGTTTATGGAGGATCAAGTAATGTGGATTAATGACTGACTTGATTTCCGAGCGATCAGGTATCGCCTCTTCTCCTACTGTCTGATTCAGCAGGTGCCGGTAGAAGCCGCTCAGGTCTTTTTGTTTCTTCACGTCCAAAGCCGCTAAACAAACAAAAATAATTCAACAGATTATTTAAATTGTTCCTAAAAGTGGCCTCTTTTCAACAACGTTTTAATCCTGTTTTAGTTGTGTTGTTGTGCTCTAAAGTAGGAGATTGTTTTTTTGGCAGCACAAATCTTTTTACAATATCCAGATAACAAAACGTTGCTATGCGCAAATCCAATTTAACATACATGCTGATGTTGTTTTGAAAGTTTTACCATATCATTAACAACAAAATCTTCTCTGCCTGCATCCACTAAACAGTAATGAAGGATCAGTCTAACCTTCCATCGCCGCCACTCTTTTCTCTTTCTCCAGCTCCTCCTTCTGCTCCAGCAGTTTTTGCTTGTAGGCGGATGTAACGTAAGCATCTTTATCAGCAAACTCTTCTCCCTCTGCCTCTCTTTCCTTCTGGATCTTCCGCTCATCCCTTCGTTCTTGTTCTTTCTTTCGGTCCTCGACTGCTCTCAATAACTGGTGGATGTATTTTGGCTGTAATAAAGACACACAGGCAAAGTTGTTGATGTTCAGGAAGAAGGTTAAAGGTAGGGTAGGTAAGAATGGAGAAACCAGCTCGAGTGCGCTAGAATTTGAAAGTACGCAGCCGAAAATAATCTGCCCCTTCCTTCAGACTTCCTTACAGAGCCCCTCCTCCAACACACACAAACGCGCACATGACCAATGAGGGCACGAGATAAGTTTGTGCACAGATGGAAGCCTGACAGGCAGGTAGGCCATCCAGTTATTTTAGCCGGGCCGGCTAAAATGATTGGTTGTGCTTTTTACAGTACTACGGCTTCCACAGATGAAATGTTTTAATGTATTTATTGTCAAAGCATTTCATGTATTCATTGCTATCGGGATGTTAAGATCATTCCATGGAATATAACAAAAAGTATTTCTGAAGTTAATTACATACCCTACCTTTAAGTTCACATTTTGGCTTTTTTATTCACCAGTAGGTGTCACAATTGTTTTAGCAAAGTGTATGCTGGGCTGTCTATCTGACCATTACATCAGAAATCTCAGACTTGACAAATGCAGCTATGAATGAAATGAAATATGAATGAAATAAAATGCTGTTGAAGATAAATGAAATTACCTTTTTGTCAACACCTCCCAACATTTTTTTTTTGTTGTCAATTCTCTGTTTTTGAATGTCATCGTACACAGCATCGTAGTCATATACAGTGCTGTCCTCTTCCAGGGCTTTATGCATCTCCAAACGTGTCTTTGGACAGAGAGGGAGAGAAAAAGAACAGGGAAATGTAAATCGCAACAAGGGAATAACGGTTTGTTGAAAAATCACATCAAGCTTGGAAATTCCTCCTTTTACCTGCTTCATCATTTTCTTTTTGACAGCTTCTTTCTGAAGACTCTCCCCAACAGTGGTCTAGGGAACAAAACATATTTAGTATATTTGGACATACGTCAGCTGGAAAGCCAATGTTTTAATTTTTTATACATTTCTATTGTCCTGCTTATAAAAATGCAAAAGTGTATCTACCTCATCATCGGAGTCATCCTCGAACACTGAGTGTTTCTGCACAGTCTTTGACAATCCTTTCCTCTGTGACAAGACGAGTCCATACCTGTGTCAGGAAACAAAGCTTTTTAAACCCTTTCATACCAAAGTAATCTGTACGTTTATTCCACATGCAAGTTGTATTTCCATTACTGCTACACTGCATACCTAGGATTAGAATTGTTCTAAATATTGTTATTTTTACTGCACCTCAGAGTTAGTTACTTTGCAGATTCAGTTTTTATTAGGGATTAAACTATCCAGCAGTGTAGAACATTTTGAAAAGGAGCTCCACCTTTACTAGTTAAAAGATTAAAGTGATGAACACACAATACAATAATATTATAGATGTATTTATTATTCTCAAAGGTGTCATCCATTATAAATATAATGAGGACTACTTGTCCTGTTTAAGAGACAGGTGACTTTATGCAAACATACGGTTACACGACTATAACATATGCGGAGTCTCCCAAACTAGATAGTTTTAATTATGTTAGCTATGAAACTCTTCTTGACAGTTTTTGAATTGGTTCGGCATAAACCATATTTTATCAGCTCTTTATACTGGCGTGGCTGCTTTATTAGCGAGGTTAGCATAACGTTAGCATATCGGTAACTAGCTTCAGGAGCAGCAGGGGACAAACCACTGTTTTCATCAATAATCCTCCACTGTACACCTAGAGCTGCTACATAAATTAAAGCTCTTTATCAAAACTATATCTACAACCCTGACAAAGTGAACTACTCGTCTCTTAATGTTAATCACACAGTAGCTAATCAAGTTAGCTTGGTCTTTACTCACTGTTTTGTAGGGAACGCCATCTTGCTCTGCTGACTGTGAACGGGTACGACAGATTCGACACAATATTTTAGATCAGTCAATTATGTCAACTTTTGCTATGTTTGATTTCAGTAGCCTTTCAAATGTAGACCGTATACATTACCGATATTTTTATGTATACATTTATATACAGTAATTGCTTCGATTATGTTTTCGTCAGGTCTTGGGAATGTGCAAACATCTATAGATTGAAGCAAAATTGATGAACAAAATATGAATAATCTTTTATCTGTGATTTGTACAATATGAGAATACATTTAATATACCGTGATATTAAAACCATAACACATATCACTGTGCCACCTGAAAAAACATTACAATGATAAATGTATTGTTATTTCAATGCCAACAGATGGCGTTATTGCTTCAAATTATAGCTACCAATCATTGATCAGTCTCTTTCAAATAACATCATATTTCTTTGGGGTAAAGCTCGGGTCTACACACAGAGAAAACTGTCGTGATCACATGCAGAGAAGCTAAAGTGAACTTAGTTTAATTGTTTTTTATATTTTGGGTGTTGCTGTCTTTTTGGGGTGCTTTTGTTCATTGAGAACATTTGCACAACTCAAATAAATATATCCATTTCAAAACAAATATTCTAGGATAATATTTAGTTGATTTTGCCTATATTCTTTGCTTTACAGCAACATTGAATTAGATCTGGTTTCCAAACCTGTAAGTGAGTATTTTATTCTCATTGGAAAAGAATAACTGCAATCATTTCGAATAATTGCTCATGTCATTTGTACTTTTGTTAATGCTGTCAGCTGCTTTGTGCTTAACCTGTGGTAAGTCATTCTCTTAAATCAGCTCAGAGAGCATGTGGCTCACCTGTGATTAAAGCTGCAGCTTTGAATTTCCACTGCTTCCCATGAGTGACTCTAAATCCAAACACAATTATCTCTGTCGTAATCTCCATCTCATCTCATCTCTGGCCTCACTGCTAATCCCTTTGGTTCAAACCGAATGGCCAAAGCTGCCTGATGGGTGAATAGATGAAGTGGTAATAACATGTAATTGTTGTGTTATGGATAAAAAACATAAATGGCAAAGTTAAGGGGAAATTGTAAAGGGCCTGAATAACCACCTTTTTAATTCTGCACAACTAATAAGCTCATTCTTCCCATTTTAGTTTAATGATAAATATAAAACACTGCTGAGGACAACAAATCTAAACAGTACATGTTTTGAGTTATATGGTGATGTTTACGCATGGCTCAAGAGTTCTGAATCACTGACCACATCTGTCTTTTTTGGCAATTCAGGCTGATACTGTTTTTTACGTGAAGTAGAAAGGGGGAGATAAATCATGTTTTACCACCAGCTGTAACAAATGAGGAATTCTAGTGCATCTGCACATACCTGCAAACATTGAGATCTGGGTTGTGTAACGTGATGATAGCAAACACACTTCACATTTTGAGTGTGTGGTTTTGTGGCAGGCTATGATTGTTGCTATCCCTGATCTGTTCCTCGAGGCAGTAAAGAATGAACACTTCAGGTTTAGACAGGCAGGCTTCACCTCAGTGCTCATAAAATATCATCTGATGTTTCCCGCTTGGACTAATTCTTTAAATCACAAAAGAGTCAAATTATTTAAATATTTTACAAAAAGTCCATCAAAACTTCTTTTGTCTAACCCAGTAAAATGCTACTTGATGCAACAATATTATCTCGAAATGTCACATGAATAATATTAATGCTATTTTCTGCACAATGATTACTTTTACTTGTTAAACTTTAAGAACATTTTGATGATAATACTTTTATGGGCAGAATTTATTGTTTGACCGGTGGTGTAAAGTAATTAAGTAGATTTACTCAAGTACATTTGTACAAATGTCCTCTTAAGTACAAATTTGAGGGACTATTTACTTGAGTATTTCCATTTTTGTTAACTTTTTACTTCTACTCCTGTACAATTCAGAGGTAAATTGTGTACTTTTACTTCACTACATTTATTTAATATCTTTAGTTACTTTGCAAGTTTTGATTAATGATGTGAAATATAATATAGGCCTACTATAATCTAATTTTTACTAACATTGTGAATGCAGGATTTTGACTTGTAACATAGTATTCCTACACTCTGGTACTTCTACTAAGTACAAGTACAAGATCTCAGTTCTTCTCTCACGTCTGCTAATTTTTAACATATTTCGCCACTAAATGATGCTGGCAGGATTTATAGTTTGACTGACACACCACTCCTCTTTGTTTACGTCCGGGACACAAACGGTTAATCGGGATTGACAAACTAAGGACAGTTGCGCATGCGCAGTAGGCGCTGAGAGAGGAAACAGCCGGGGAGTAGTCAAACAGTCCGCGGTTAGAGAGAAAGAGCGGAGAAAAACCAGAGAAGACCGACAACCCGTGTTCAGCTGGGGTTTCTGCTTCTCAAATCAACTATGCTCGTCTCTCCGCCGTCGCTTCATCTCAGGTGTCCGCTTCCCGGTCGCTGAATGGCGCTGGTTACCGTGCAGCGATCACCGACCCCCAGCACCAGCTCCAGCCCTTGTGTTTCGGTAAGAGTCGCGTTTATTGAACCCTCCTAACTTCCCGTTGCCTCTCTAACACTAAACCGCAATTCCATTTCGCTATCAAAGGCGATTTCATGCCACATTTCCGCTGTCTTTTTGTCGGCTGCTGACTGTCATAAAGTGCCTTGCCTTTGTACTCCTGCGCATGCGTGAATTATAGCTTCTCATCATTTCAGTTAAATTATCCGCGTCGTTACTTGCAACTAAATTAACCTGTCCGGAAATGTTTTGTTTTGCTGCTATTTGATTGCACCGTGCAGTTAGCAACGTTAGCTTGAAGACCACTTCCTGTTCAGTTTTTTTTTATTGTACTCTATTGTTGACATGGTTCCTGTAACGTTATGCACACATCCGCCAGTTCAAAGGTTCAGCTGGCTACTACTGCCCACAATAAGAGAACCTAAACTCACTATTATCGATAGTATTTGTTGAAAATGGTTAGGTTTTGCTGTTCATAAAATTGTACCGCTTGCTAACTAATGGTTTCAGTTCCAGAGTTGTAGTTTAGCTATCTACAAAGAAAACTGTCGTGCACTTCCGCTCGTAATAAGCGCCCTGTGACACGCATGAATACGGGTATTTACTCTTCCATAATTGTTGTGTGCTTTCAAGGTATGTAAACACGGTTGTGGACGTGTGTCTTTCTCTTTTGTCTCAGTTTGTCTGTCTCCACCTCAGACTCTTGATCCTTGTCTGCACGTTTCTCCACCCGCCTCTTTCCACCCGCCTCTTTGTGTGTGTGTGTGTGTGTGTGTGTGTGTGTGTGTGTGTGTGTGTGTGTGTGTGTGTGTGTGTGTGTGTGTGTGTGTGTGTGTGTGTGTGTGTGTGTGTGTGTGTGTGTGTGTGTGTGTGTGTGTGTGTGTGTGTGTGTGGTGTGTGTGTGTGTGTGTGTGTGTGTGTGTGTGTGTGTGTGTGTGTGTGTGTGTGTGTGTGTGTGTGTGTGTGTGTGTGTGTGTGTGTGTGTGTGCAAAGCAGAGGAGCAGGTGGTTTTCCTGTTGCTATTCTCCCTGCTCGTCTTTATTTCTACTGAAGAAAGAAACCCATTCAGAAAGTCGGGGAGTACTAGACAGGCATACACTCTGTTTCCTATTTCGTTCTTTCTCTGTTTTACACAACTCCATACACTTCCTGTGTCAGTTCTGCTGAGTGTATTGTTGACAGACAGCATGTCTTGTGACATCAATAGATATTGTGATATAGTGTTCATGGATAGAGTTGCAGGGGATGGTTTATTAAGGTTCAACAGCAGTACCAATAACCGTGAAATCGATACCAATAGAGTACTTTTGATACCATCCATATTATATGCACTCAGCTTTAACATACACGTTTTTGGTAAAGCCATATACTTTCAGTTATTTTTGTGTCATCTTGGCATTTTATTTGAAACATTGTCCACAGTAACATTAAACACCAAATAGCTATCATGGCATTGATGATTTATTCAGTATACTAAAATCTTCGACAAATTCATTTAGTTTTACAGTTTATTTTGGCTAAATGCCAAGTAAGTAAAATTGAACTTATTTTTGTTTTCTCAGTATTATATAAAAATGTGTGGGTAAAATCGTGTTAGTTTCTACACCCCAACTACATATTGGGGTTGCAGTCAAGTTATTTTTCACCAAGAATGTCAGTCACAAACAATCTGTGAGCACTGTGGCCGTGAAAGAGACCCTCTCTTCACACCTTTTCTATCCTCGGAGCAAAACTGGTTCTGTGAGTGAGAAGGCATAATCATAACTGTCAAGCTTTGTACACACACATGTAGTAATTTGTTCTGTCATCCAGAGTGACTCAAAAATATATACAAGATTAGATGAAACAATCAGCCGTCAGTGTCAAGGAACACAAAGTCAATATTCCTGAAGATCGTGTGTGTTGAGCCGGACAGTCTTCCATCACCACAGAGCTGTAAAAGTAGAGTAGGAAGATATGCATATCTGTAATTTAGCAAGGTGAGGCAGACAGGAAGTGTTGAAGGATGGAAAGCATTTTCTTGTGGAAATATGCTTTCAAGTTGCAACCCGTACACACATAGAGTGATAACACATCGCACAGACATGTCTGGTTCACTGTGTCCTGCTGTCATGTGATGTATGTCTCAGTGTGCGAGAAGTCTTGTGTAAAGTCTCTCGTGAGATGCCTGCCTGCTGTTTTTTTTCTCAACCCTCTTTACTTGAACCTTATGTTGAGCCTGTCCAGCCTCATAATAAGGGTTTTTGTATGGAAAACACACAGGGAGTACACATTTTGCCTTTAGGGTATAAGCATTTACTAGGTTTAACGTGGTGACTCTATGCTGTAACTTGTGACTCCCAGTGCAGTACAGACATGTCTCCTGTCTTGCAGATCCCTGCCCAGCCTGCACAGTCAGGCAACACATTTCCATAAGTTTTGGAAAAATCCTCTCACATTTTCATACATGCAAAAGGTGTTTTCCCATCTAAACAAAGTTTGGTTGTTCTGTCACAATCTAGGACACAACCGCTGAAACTCTGTTCCATCAAGTAATCTAAAATATAAACTCAAATTCTGTTTAGTTTTCCCGACAAACTAATTACTACATTGTTGCAAAGATATTCCATTACTCATTATCAAACCTTTTTGGATACATTGGTTAGAGCAACTTAAATGCTTTACACAAGGTGATCAAGAATCCACACGTTTTGTTTTAAATATCTCTTGAAATCATTCTGAGAGCCCACAATGGAAACCTGCTTTACATAATGTTGCTCATAGATGTTCTGCAACAGTGTCACAAGATCCGGCCTAAAGACTGGTATCCAGACCCTTCCCTGCTGTGTTGTTGCTCTCACAACCTAAACATTGCACACAATTGGCATTTGCTATACCAAACATTGCTGTGCATTCGCAGAACACACACATTTAATCAGCCTTGCACAAGTTGATATTTTTCTTTGTAATCCATTATTACCTCTTATGAAGCTATTAATGTTGCTGTGATTTAGTTAATGCTAGTAAAGCCGAAAGTGTAAACAAGATTCCAGGTCCTCAAGGTAATGTGATAATCTGCCACAAATATTTAAACCTCATTTGGCAAAGCTTTATATTTTATTAGTCATTTGAATTTGTTTTTTATTCTCTCCTCCTCATCTTGCTGCTCGTTTTGTGTGTGAATGTGTTGTTTTTTGAACGGCCACACCTTAAAAACAGACTGAGGTCATTTTCCTGGAGGGTGCGTAAATTGAGTTGAAGCTGAAATCTGCTTTTCCTCCCGTCCCACTGCACCGCTGCTCTCTGATCAGGCCGTCCTGAATGCTGTGTTTTATGATACTTGTACTTTCATTCAGTTTGTGTACATGTGAGTTTTGAAGTACACATGCTTCTCTTTTTGTACATAGAACATTGTGATTTTACCCATTTACAATTTTGTCCAACTACTTTTTTGGTTCAAGAGGAAGCTTATTTAATGTTGCCAAAACATTTGTTATTATGATTTTTTCTGATTTGAGGGTGTACTTTTCTAATAGAGTGACAGCTTTGTTAAACAGTTATTTTGCAGAGTTTAAAATTATGTTTCTCAGAATTTTCCATTTATACATTACTGAGTTATAAAACAAATAAGTTATAGAGAAATGTTTTTACAATGCCCACATTTTGTTTAATTTTAAATGGTAACATCATTATATTATGACATGAAGAGATTGCTACAAAATTAGATGATTTAAGTTAATTATTCAAAATGAATTTAATTCAATAAAATGTTTAAATGGTATCTGTATATAGATGCTACTTTTGTAATGCTTCTACATCCAATATGTTGTGTCTCTATTTCCAACCTTAGTGTTTAAAAGTGCAAGATTCTACTTTATATCACATTATTAAATGTCATTTTCTCACTTTATCTCTTTAGGAGTCCGGTAGTGGGGAGGATGACCGCCGCTCTCAGCCGAGGAGGTAAGATATGTTTAGATATTCTGCACCCTCACCTACTTTGTCACAAACAATGCTTGATCATATTACCCCTCTGGGACGTCAGCACAATACAAACTTCTTCCTGTTTCTCTATAAAGATGAAGTGCAGTGTGATTTTCATAAACAAGGAGTTTGGATCACAGTGACATTTTACTGAAATGTCGTGCCGGGCCGAGTAGTTTAAGACACAACGAGTATCTACTGAAGTGTATGAACAGAGGGCCTGTTATGTTGCTACCCCTGCCCTTAAAGGGTACCTATCATGCAAAATGCACTTTTTGATGTCTTTTATACATACATTTGTGTCCTCGGTCTGTCAGGGAACTCGCAAAGTGTCAGGAAACTAAACCCTCTCTCTTTTCCTCTGTACCCAAATCTCTAAAAACGGAGGTACAACGGAGCTGATCCAGACATGCGTTTGAAATGGGGACCCACGGCACTATCAGAAACGTTGCTATCAGAAACAATGCCCGACGTATTATGGTCTTTGTTTACATTAGCAAGCATCGCTAACACTCAGAGCTAACCTGTACTGGAGAGAGTATGTATAAAAAAGCAGGAAATATAAAAAGGAACTCACCTTGTGGTAAACCCGCCAAAGAAAAAGCATTTGAGCTCCATACTGTTTCAGAAATAATCCTTGATGTGGTTTGGAACATGATATGGTATTTAATCACGGCAGCATTTAGCTGTATCTCGTAGAATTCTGAGCTAAGGACCCAAAATAAGCGTTTCTCTAACAGGGCTGGAATAGAGGGATATGAGAAATGTCTAAAATGCATGATCTGTTTGGTATTTTGAGCAAAATACATCATAGACATGTTTTTAATATATTTGTATATATCTGAGACCCATAATATATGCCTACAAATAGCATAATAGGAGACCTTTAAAATGGCTCGACCTACACTTTTGGGGGAGAGAAAAAGACATTACCTGAAGAAGCACTTGAAAATTAATCATTAAATGAGTCTGGCCCTGCAAGACTTCCTTCCTTTACTGGTACAAAGAGCTTCTGTGCTATTGTGGTGCTTTTGTGGTCTCACAATCGTGTGCTGTCCCTTGTTGCCTCTGGCATTGAACTGGAGCTGGAATCTGGTTTATCCTGTTTCACTCAACCACACTTGCAACTAGTTTGAGTCCACCACCAGCCATCAGCAATTTCCTCCTACTGCCACTATGTTTATTTGTTCAAGATACACATGATACCAGTGAACCTTAGCTTAAGTAACTTTCATTATCCATCTTTGTTTTATTTGGCCCTTGCAATAATGGATAAGATCCCAAAATCCTCTCATGTATGAGATAATTAACAGTGGTTTGCTTGTTTTCCATTAGAGGGCAGTCGGTTCTCTGTGAGTCAGGTCTGTGTATGTGGGTCAGGGGAGCAGCACTGCTGATCCAGGAGCAGATTGGGAGCCCCTCCCAAAGTCAGAGCGCCTCTGAGTCTGTCTGGTCATTGGAGCTCTGTGCCATCAAACTGAGAAGGCTTTCTGTATTTGTGCAGCTGGGAGTGAAATCTATATTCACATAGTCAGGCCGTGTATGTGTGTTTGCACAGAATAGGTATTGGATCTGATTTATTTTTGATTTACTGTATTTTTTACAACATCTTGTTTTTAATTCCTGAATTATTTGACTATTGACCCTGGTGCCCCGATTTCATACAGTAATTCCTTTTGAAGGAACATATGAATACAAGGAGCTGGGCCCGGTCTTGAGTTCATAATAGCCTCTTTGAATCGCTTTATACCAACAAGGAGCCGTGTATTCTATACCAGATGATTTTATTATTCCAGGCTACACAGGCCAGTATATATTGTAATTTGTTTGCCATCTAAACCGTTGAGATTTGTTAGACATTTTGATTAGTTAATTTACCATCATTTGAACTTGCTGTTTATAAGCTGATAGTCAGTGTTATGGCTCTAAGTAGTGGCTCACTCCTTCTATAGTTATTTCAACACATTACATTGGGGGGGGTAACTGACTTTTTCCTTCACCTATCTAGATAGCTGTTAACACACAGTTATTAGGTTTTATTACTCAAGACAATAAGGATCATTTAATCCATTCAGAAGTTTCTCTAGGGTCAAAGGAACAACATAGGAAATGAGTGCTTGTCTCTTTTCAAAATTCTTGTCAGGCAATTGTGAACAACAAACACCGGATTCCACTTAAAGAGGCAATAACGATTCAGGAAAAGTAAACCTCCATGGACTGAAATACTGTATTAATGTTCCCAACTGCTGACGTCTGTGCCTATCTCTCCGTAGCAGCCAGCAGCTGCAGCAGAGCTCATCTCTGACACAGGTAGTGACATTTATTTAGACTGTAATGAGGCTTCAGTGATTCAGTGTGTCTGTCTGCATGCGCTGGGCCCACTGCAGTGCTGCTGATTAAAGGCTGTGACATCAGCAGAGTAGTGACGTCAGCTAAAGCAGCAACGTCAGAGGAATGCATTATCACGCTGTTTCTGGGCTATTATTACATACATGATTCTTTTGTCAGATGCAAAATAAAAAGTGTTATCATGATATATTTGTGCGAATAGTAAGGATTTAATATTGTTTGGTTTTTTACTCATTTATATTATGCTTGAAATTATGAATGTGTTCCCCCAAGACTCTCCAATTAATATTTTTTGTTTGTTGTCCAGCAGATTGATTATGCTGTAAACATTGAGCGTAATTCATGCTAGAATTCCCTGCTCATAAAGCAAAGTGCTGAATAGCTGTGTGTCTACTGTACTACACAGGTAATGTTGTAATCACTAAGGTTACTGCCTGTGTGTTTGTATACGTGGAGACGTAAGAGCAACAGAGGAGTGTCCGGTGTCTGTCTGCCTTTCACAACCACATCCTGCCCTTCACTGTTTGTCATTGGACGGTGTGAATTTCAGGAGATAAAATTAGAGAACAGTAAGATGGAACTTCAGAGACGGGTCGAACATCACAAACATGAAAATGTCGTTTGATGACTGTTCGTCCGACACCTATAGTGCGCTACAACCAATGTAACAGATATTTTTTACATTAATGGGACTAACGCTGTACCGAACATTTTTTTAAGTTAATATTTTCTATTAACGTTTTCTCGATTTAAGAAATTAACCTGCTGTGTTTTAAAGGCAAGTCGAGGCATATTTTTGTAGATGTTCTGTCTTTTAATGCATTTTGACATTTGGACTTAACAAACCTCTGCTGTTAAAATAAATGTTTTAGATCACGCGAGTCAAGAAACAATCCTGCGCAACCACAACTGTAATCGAATCCATCAAATAGTGTTATATACTTATTATAGCCTAGTTATAATATTCTACTGTGCGGAAATATCGGGTTTAAATCTAATGACTTGACTTGCCATTCATTAAATGATGACATAATTAATGAAGCTACTAACCATTCAATACACACAAGACTAATTAAAGATGGAGATTAGGGGCATGGAAGTGATTTTGTGAGACGGAAGTCAGTCAGAAAAGGAAGTTAAATAAAATCATGACAAGAAAAATGGAGCCTGTAGTGGAACTTTGAGAGTTAAACAGGATTGGTTGATTTGGTACCTTTCAGATTAGGCAGCTGTTATCAGGGAGTAATGAAGGCCTCCTGATGCGTCCGTCTAACATGCACTTTGACACTGAACGTCCACTTAATGCTTGACATTATTGCTTCTTCATCTTGCTACTGAATCACATCCCCTGGCTGATTAATCATGGAGGGTCAAGGCTCATGCACACTTATGCAATATTACACCAGCCATAGAAGGATCTAACAGAAAAACAGCAGTGCAGTTGTTGTTTATCCTGTGATATAATTGGGCCATCAGGTGGTTGCCACGCTTCTACCTCCAGTACTTTGTAATCAATCCCATTTTAAATTGAAACCACGAGGCATCAACAAGCAGCGTAACCAGGTCTAGTTTCTCCTCAGTCCTCTGATGTCTCCTTTTTGATTTCTCAATCTTTTTTCCGTTGTTGTTGTTTTGCTGTTGCGGGAAGCATCAGCACATTAAGGTGTCAGGTGTTCCTGATTTTCCGTAAAGGCTACAGACCTAGAGTTGGTTACACAACTTGGCCAGCTACTACACATGTGTGATCAGTGTATGACCAACACTCTCCAGAAGATGCCTTTCTAGGTATGGAGAGTAAGTAATGCTTAATCAGGGGTTTGGTTCAAGTGTTGTCATAGATGCTAAGTGTGTTGCTGTGTAAACTAGTGTTGTTGCCATGAGAAAAGGGAAAACTTGACTCGATGTTATACAAAAATGGCACTAGCCTACAACTAGTGAATATGTATTTTATAACTGCTGAGATAATGAAAACCATGCCATGTTATGCCCCTGGTTCAATCCTGTCCAGGGACTTTTGTTCCCCTCTCTCTCTACCACCTGTTTCTCTACTGTGACCCTTCAAATAAAGCCACAAAACACTTTACAAATGGACAGTCAAGTAAATAATGTTAACATTATATCAGAAGTTCTATATAGTGCCATAACACATGCTGAACCATACCTAAATTCAGTGTAGTGCCAGAATGATGTGTCATAGGAAGGTATTCTGGTTTTTCTGGTGTTAAACATCTGCGCTGTTCACTAAGCTTAATGCAAGGGGCATTTTTGAGCTGCCACTTCCGGTATGCGGTAGTATTTTCTCCTATGTCAGGAACTTTTGGGACTTAATGTTCACGGAACCAGGAAAATCTGTTATTATTTGAGCATTTCCAGGTTCCCTCGTCTTGAGGTCGACAGTTTCGAAAGAGATTCTGGTTTGATGCCTGAAATAAGATCTGTGGATAATACAAGCTTAGGAAATGTTCAGGTTTTATTTATTATAGTCATGTGACTGTGATGTAGCTTGTTTATAGCATTTTGTTAGCTATTTACTTTTGTCGATTGGATTTTCCTGCTGAAAAATACCTGTTAGTATCATAAACCTGTGTTTGCCACATATCTTATTTTCAGCAATATTACAGTACAGCCAAATAAGCCAGTGGGAAAACCCTTTAGTTTTTTGGTCCAGTGAGCCCTTGCAATCATCACTGCACCACTTCATAGTTGGTAACATTATCTAATGAAATAGGCCGTAATTGAAGAGTTGTCTGTCTCGATTAAAGGCTTGTTTTTGTCATGACTATAATGTTTTCCCCGCTTTTCACTGTGGCACTAACTCTGTCATACAGCCTTCGAAGGACGGCTGTTTTCCAGCGAATGGACCATGTGTGTCTCCTCCCCTTTTACCGCAGCCTGCTGCAGACCATGCTGCAGACCACAGTCAGTAGGCCTAACACGAGCAGATGTTAGGAGACACCTGCTCTGCAACAGCATGTGCTAAACATGTAAACATTGTCGCCGTTTTTGAATATTATATCACCGCGCTTTTTAAAAAAATCTCCTGTTTCACGGATAAAATTGACTCAGTCCGGGGTGTCCTTTACATTCGAGACCTCAAGTTATCCACAGTTTTTGCGTTTTAGCAAATATCCTGGCAGTGCGGAGTGCCCGCCTGCCTCCACAGCCACACCATAACGGCAGCTATCGATAGAAACAGCCCGCTTCTGTGCGCCCTTCCTCCGCCACCAGAGCAGCGATGCCTCCGGGTGTTGTGTCCGCTCCACGGAGCTCTACTGCCGGCTGCTTCTGCGCCTGCTGCGGCGGGGAGATGAGACCTTATTTCACCGAGAACTCCGTGATCTCTCAGGGGGACATTTATCAGCTGTAAGTTTACACTGTGCTCAGAGCCCCAGGTTTTCTGTGGAAAATAATATGAATTGCAGTAACATATTATTGTATTCTTATTAGTGAGATGCTGTATGAGAGTCTGATTTAGTATTTATAATATCAATAAGTGATGGAACATTATTTTTGCTGACTTGAAACCCTAGTTGAACAGAGGGGGGGGGGGGGGCAGGGGCATATTCTCATTCTCCCTGCTTTCCAATATTTTGTCACGGAGATCTGGTATGACAAAGGTTTGTGGTTTTCCCATGATGAGTTAAAGGGAAGGATATGACAGCAGTCAGGGGCTGAAGAAAGAGGTTTCCTTCCTCTGAAATGTCAGCCAGATGCCAAACTCATCTGCTCACACGCACTCTCCTTCACCCAGCTTTTATTTTTATTTTAGATGTGAATAAGACTGGTCCTTTTTAAGTAATATAATTTCCTTAGTTGATGACCACATTCATGATATATAGACTCTTTAAAATGTGAGTGGGAAGTGGTTTAAGGCTGTTCTTTGAAATGTTTGTGACAACAAATATGTGGATGTTGCAAATGTCTCTTTTATAACGGTGAAATGTAATAGGATACTTTTTGAAGCTGCTGTTCTAAAGGCATAGATTGCCTCATTGTGACTTTTGTAATTACTGCTGATCCTCTTCTCCTTGATCCTCATGGCATTCATGACAGAATGCGACTTCCTGTTTTTTTTATAGTTCTCTCTTAGCTTTCTGACTCAGTGTATCATTGCCTTCCGTTTGGAGTGACGCATATGCACTCAATCGTTTCATAACAAATTTAGGCTACCACTTTGTTCTAAATTCAAGGACCAAAAGCTCTTGTTAATCATTGCTTGCAATTGTTGCTTGATTACATCTGTGATTGAAGAACAAATGGAGCAATTTTAAAATCAAAGGGATACATTGGGCATCTTAAGTCTGTTACATTACTAGATTGTTTAGAGAGCAGTAGCACCAAGTAGCTTTGCTGGAAAGGCCAATTTCATGCCAGGTAGTTGTTCAATTATGAGCTTTAAAGTCTCAGCCACAGCCAGTTAAGTTGTAATTGCTTAAAGATTACAATGATAACAACTGTGTGTGAAGAACAGAATTTAACGGTTTAATTGGGGGACAGTTTTTTGTTATTTTTACTCTACGACATATGGGCCTCCTGATGTTTTTAACATGTCCAGGCCAGTTAAGCCAGCATGTTATTGGAATTGGTTGTAAACTGCACAGTGAAAGATCTTGAACTCGATAAGGTGCATACATCTCTCCAATAATTGTTTTATATATGTTGTTTGTACAGGATTTTATGTGCATTTTCTAAGGAAGCACAAGATGAAATTACCATTATTAAAACACAATCCATTTTTCAACAATAAAAATCCTACTGAATATTCAGCTGGCTTTTTTTCTCCCTGACTAATAGTCCTAAATATGGAGTTTATGATAATGTAAGATGGAAAAAAAAAGTCATCACTATTGAAAAGCTGAGAATGGGGACATGTGTGATTTAACTGGATTAAAAAGGTTTACATTGTCAATTTCTTATAAAAATATGTGCTGTTGCTATTAGCTTTTTCGTTGATGACTAAATGAATTATTTCCACTAAGCGTTTCATCTCCCTAAACCAACTCCCTCTTAAAAAAGGAAAAAAATCAAACTATTTTGGGTGGTTCTCATCACTTTATTTGTTTTTCTCTATCTGTCTAGCATTAGTGAAAGTTTCCTGACAGTTAAAGGGGCTGCTCTCTTCTTACCTCGAGGAAATGGCTCCTCTCCTTCGTCTGCCTCTCGCTTCTCACAGCTGCGCAGCAAACATGCAGGTGAGGTTAAATGTTCTGTCAAGACAATTGACTGTTTGACTCTCAATAGAGCTGTTGGTTAAAATGCTGCCATTTATGGATAACTGCACTTCTTGATACTGATCAAAGATTTGTTTTATTACTCGCATCTTACCAGGGGACATCCAACAGCATCTGCAAACCATGTTCACTCTCCTCAGACCAGAGGACAACATCAAACTGGTGGGTACACTCAGTAGTTAAAACAAAAAGTAATGTCCTGAGATGTCAATCACCTGTAAAGACTTCACAAATTGTTCCTTTCCTGCTCTAGGCGGTGCGTTTGGAGAGCGCACACACTCAGATCACCCGCTACATGGTGGTGGTCTCAACCAATGGTCGTCAAGACACAGAGGAGAGTGTGGTGCTGGGAATGGATTTCAGTCCTGTAGATAGGTGAGACAGGAACACAAACACATTCATATTTACCTCCATGTGTGTGCATTAAGTTATAACCTGACATATTTATTTTCCTCCAGTTCATGTTCTGTAGGGATGGTTTTGCCCTTGTGGAGCGACACATTAATACATCTGGATGGAGATGGGTAAGGAAACATCCAACCTGTTTAATCACATAGATAACACACAATTACAACTAGGCTGCTAAGATGGTTGACCGCCTTTTTTGATGTTTGATCCTTCTTCTCTTCTTTCTCCCAGGGGTTTCAGTGTGTCAACTGATAACACAGTGCACGTGTTCAAGCCGGTTTCTGTGCAGGCCATGTGGTGAGTCATACAACTTAGTAGACATGTGTTATTGTGATTGTAGTAATGTGTTTTTATTACATGTACAGCACTTTGGCTCGACCAAAAATCGCTTTTAAATGTGCTTTATAAATAAAATTTGATTTGATTTGACATCAATATCATATCTGCTCTTTTATTTTTGCAAGTATTCATCTTGGTATTTTAAGCCTGTCCCTTCTATTTATTTGAAAGTGTAATTTGTCTCTCTCCCCTTCATCTCCTGTCTCTAAATATGCATTTTCCCTCTCAATTACTTAATCGCAGGTCGGCCCTCCAGTCCCTCCATAAGGCCTGCGAGGTGGCTCGTTGTCACAACTACTTCCCAGGCAGCTTGTTCCTCACCTGGGTCTGCTACTATCAAAGCAGGGTGTACTCGGACCAGGCCCGCATCAACGAGTGGAACGCCATGCAGGATGTGCAGTCGCACCGTGCAGATTCACCCGTGCTCTTCTCCGACGCGTAAGTATCCAGATCATATGGAATATATTTTTTCTGCACATTACTATAAAGTGGTTCAGCAAGACAAACCTTCATATACCAGGCTGTATGTGTGCAGCAACACTTCATAAATGAAAAAGACTTACTCCATTTATTCATGTATTTTAATGTCATGGTGTTTCTGCAGACCCACGGAAAGAGAGCTGACTGAGCGTCAGATCAAAAACAGTTTGAGGGAGATCATGATGCAGAAAGATCTTGAGAATGTCACAAGCAAAGAGGTGAGTCAGCGCCTTAGATGCTGGATTTGAAGATGTTCCAAACAGATAGAATGTCACTGATATCTGGTGAAATGTCACTGAGTTACGAAGTCCCTCTTTTTAAGGAATTGCATAGAAAAGAAAATGTTGGAGTTCCTTTTTTGTCACTCTTTTAGTAAATGCCTGTATTTGAGGCTTGGATTTGCTGTTTTAAAATACATGTGTGTTTGTCTGGTTGTGTTCCATAGATCCGAACAGAGCTGGAGATGCACATGACATGCAACCTGCGAGAGTTCAAGGAGTACATCGACAATGAGATGATCGTCATTCTGGGCCAGATGGACAGTCCTACGGAGATCTTTGATCACGTCTTCTTGGTAGGTTCCTCATTACACCTCCAGGCAACCATTGCTGCATTTATGATTTATTTTGATCTGATTACGTACATATAAGAACACTTAAAAATAAAGTATCAGTTGATTTTAAGTAAGATATATGAGTATTAGTTGTAAATCATGCTCTAAGCAATGTGAGGGACCCCGGTTAAATCTGAGATCTTCTTGTGTTAGTCAAAGTTTCTCCCAATTTTAGGGTACTTTGTTATTTGTTTGGTTTGGAGTGCACAGTGGATGTCGGGCATGCCTCGCAACAGGATTTAAGCATTATGAAAAGCTCAGTTGAAGGCTCTGAGCTAGTCTTGAGGATTGCTTTTGTTTCCTACAGGGATCTGAGTGGAATGCATCCAATTTGGAGGAGCTGCAGAAGAGCGGGTAAGCAAGGGGACACACACAACAACACAGAACAAATAACAAGCTGTACTGAAGTCAATGAAGACATAATGTATCATATGATAGGACCCTAACAATATTTCCTTATAAACTGAATGTTTTTTAACTAAAGTATTCTATATCTGTTATTCAAGCGGACTGCACATTCAATCATCTCTCTTTTTCTGATCTACCCTCTTATTCTCATGCAGGGTTCAGTACATCTTGAATGTAACCAGGGAGATTGATAACTTCTTCCCCGGTGTGTTTGAGTACCACAACATCCGTGTGTATGATGAGGAGGCCACTGACCTTCTTGCCTATTGGAATGAAACCTTCAAGTTTATAACTAGAGCCAAGTGAGTTCCTGACAACTGCATGATTTGTTTATATCTTCTCATCTTGGGACTTTACAGAAATGTTGACAATGGTATGCTGAAACCTTCTTAATGTATTCTTATTAACTCCAGGAAAGCCGGTTCCAAGTGTTTGGTGCACTGTAAGATGGGCGTCAGTCGCTCTGCAGCTACAGTGATCGCGTACGCCATGAAGGAGCACGGATGGGACCTGAAGAAAGCTTTTGATTTCGTCAAGGAGCGTCGAACTGTGACCAAACCTAACCCTTCCTTTATGAGACAGCTGGAGGAGTATCAGGGCATACTGCTGGCCAGGTACTCATAAAAACACTCACAAGTACATTTAATGTGATCTGTATATGTAGCATGATGCCAATACTGCATGGACTGCCTGATTTGCTAAGGCTAATAATACCATGTGGATGAAGCAGAAAGGTCAAACGCAGCTAAACTTTCAACTGTTTAATTATGTGCACAGGCTATTCATGTATCAATGCATACTCTGTAGATGAATACTCTGAACCAGAAAGGAAAGGTTTCTTTGAGTTTGCGAACAGTTTAGTAGTTACTATGGCAGAGTTTATAATTTTGCCTTCAGCATATCAGCAATGTGATATGTAATCAAAACTGCATTCTGTGATGTATTACATTTTTCTGCAGAACAAGCTGTACATGCAACTGTCATTACCTCACATGGCTGACATATTAGCAAACAGCTGCTGATTTACACATCAAGCAGACATGGCGCAATATTAGCTGAAAGAAATGTTATGATTATTTTCTATATTTAAATGTATTTATTTGAATATTGATCTGTGCATTAGTGTGCTTTCCAGCCGCGGCGCCAGGATTTCAATTGTGGGTGGGCCAATGTAATTTCGGCTGGGCCCGTTCAAATGTTTTCTAGCGATTTTTGTTAATAATCTAATAAAAATAGGCTATGCCAAGAATGACATTCGTGTTTACTGAGAGCATAGTCGATGTGTTTCCAGTCCCTGTAACCATGGCGACTGAATGTATCTTCTCCGCCGGCCCCGCCTCTCTCTCTAAAATGCCGGCACATTTTTAGAAAACACACTGTCCTTGCTAATGCTATACTCCAAGAATGTGTACTTGTCATACCATTGGGCAGCGAAGCTCCTTTTCTTTTGTCCGAAAAGTGTCTGAGGGTACTTTATGAGCTTTGGCTGTGTAGCCGCCGGGTCATCTATGGCTGATAGGTCCGGCACTGGGATGCTATTTTCTGTTATCCTGCAACGGGTGCTACGTCCCGCAGAGGGACTGAGCTCAGCGGGGCACAACATTAAACACACTCTCGTCTCTCTGAGGCGGCACCTGCTGTGAGGATGATGAGTGTGGTGGTTCTGGCGGCGGCGCCTCTGCACTCTGACTGTTCTTACTCTTTTAAAAAAAACTGAACATCGATTGTTGTGACATCGTTAGTGAGCACGGTATATTTTTTGTGTCTGTCCAGTCCACTGTCCTCCTTCGTCTGCGCGCGGCCGCAAGACGTTCTACGATGTGTTTGCTCCCACGCTTCGACTATGAGTTCGGCCTGATTACGTTAATTAATGTTGCTTTTAATTTAATTTTTTTTTGAAAGGGAAACACATGTTTGCTCTTATTTTATTATTTAATTGTTAATTTTAATCAAAAATGTTGGAAACTATATTTTCGCCCAGTAATTTTTGATCAATGAATGGGTGGGCTCAGTGCCAGAGTGGGTGGGCCTAGGCCCAGTAGGCCCACCCATAACACTGCGGCTGGTGCTTTCATATCAGTTTAGTATCTGTGACCTAAAATGTACATGTTTATACTGTGTGTTTGCATAAAGATTATAGGAGTGACATGAGAAGACTCTACTAATCGTATCCTTTTGGTTTCCCCCTACAGTAAGCAGAGGCACAACAAACTGTGGCGTTCTCACTCTGACAGCGACCTGTCTGATAACCATGAGCCGCTCTCTAAATCTCACGCACAACCGCTCAGCCTGGGCCGCTTAGGCCCCCACAACCAGGCCGGCAGCGAGCCTGGCCCCTCTGTGAGAGAACTGCTGGATTCACTGGGAACCTCGGCTAAGACTGGCAAAGCAACACACTCCACCAGCCAGCCTGACACTGGCATCCACTCCAAGCTCAGCTCCTCATCCTTTGGGGGGATGGCAGCTATAAAAGGCAATGCTGAAGCTCAAAGGCTGGAGGCTCCTTCTCATTCTGCTGTTATCCAAATCAGCCAATCAGACCCCCCCTGTCCCGAACCCACAGCTGGCTCTGTGTCTCCGTTATCTCCTCCGCTCTCCAACGGTGTGTCTGACTCTGAGGAGCAGCCCTCATCGCCTCCTCTCTCCGAGCCAAGGGCCGCCACGGTGGTGCCGGAGCCTCTCAAGACTGACATGGTGGCAGAGACTGTTTTAGCTGGCCAGCCTCACCCACCTCCCTCCTTCCAAGACCTCCCCCTCTCCCCTGCTCCATCTCCAACTCCAGTCTGCATGGATGAGGTTATCAAACCGCAGCTGTTGTCCTGCTCTCTGCCTGTGGTAAAACCCATGCTAGTGTCCGTGCCTGAGCCCATGACAACACAAACACCGAGCACACAACAGGCTGAACCCCAGAGTCTGCCTGCACCAGTGCCTGTCCCAAAAACAGACTGTGACCAACAGATGTGTAGCTTGTCTTTGGACAGTTTACCAGCACATCCTCCCTCCACTAGTCATTTAATCAGCTACCACGGTGCCATTCCACAAGACGGCGAGTTGCTGTTCGGCCACAGCGCAGATCACATTAACTTTTTCAGTGCCAGAGAAAAGTTCAAGGGAATGAGTCAAGATGATAAAACTCAGTGTGCCGCAGTGCAGCAGTTGCCCCAGCAGAAGAGTTGTGGCAAGGAACAACAACCACTGCCTGGTGAGGGGAAGATTGAAGAGAAAAGAAAGGTAAGAGGGAGTGTTTGTAGAAAAGAAATCAAAATCAATGGACTTATTTCCATTGTAAACATAGCAGTATGTCTAAGCTTAGGGTCACTGACTTTTATCAGAGCTACTCTCAGGCTCTGACAAAGATCTCAGTTTGGTTGTTTTTGGAGATAAGTGTGCAGATGTAGTGATCTTTTTCAAGTCTATGCTTGTGTGAAATGCCCGATTTGGAAGTGTAATAATGTCATAGTGGTGAAATGTAAGTATCAAATCATTAATTAGTTTGTTTAGCCTTTGTATTCTTGAGTCCATGGCGCCACCTGGTGCCTATGTATGGTATGTCCCATGCAGTATATCTGTCACATTACTCTCCATTTGACTTGAATGTTATTTGAACACCTTTTTATAGATATATTAAAACTATTGTTTGGCATTTAAACTGAGTTATGATTTATGTTTTCTTTTTCTTTTCTCTGTAGGAAATGTCCGTCCCTGTGCACACGGTCACAGATCTGAAGCCTGCAGAGCACTCAGAGTCTGAGGGCCCCCAGGACCAGGATGTGAAGAAGTCTGAGCCGGAAATTAAGGATGAAGATGTTTCATCACAAAAGGAAGCTGAGCATGTTAAAGAGGAAGTGAAAAACAAAGAAGAAGAGGAGGAGGCGGCCCCTGCTCGTCTGTACAGTGATTGGACGAGGGGCTCCGTGCGGCGCGTCACACGACAGCTGGAGCAAAGAATGAAACAGGATCATGAGACTTCGTCGCCCTCCTCATCTCCTCCGTCCCTCTCTGGCAGCTCCTCCTGCTCTCAGCAGCGTCCACACAGTGTCCATAATGTGACAATGTCCAATACCCAGGATGCATCAGCTGGCTCACAGCTGTCAAGCCGGGTGCAAGGAGATGAGGATGCATTTAGACCAGTTAAAAGGGACAGTGGTAATTTAGTTGAAATGAGGGCACTAGGAAATAATGACGTAAGCACAAAAGGACACAAACTCCACCCTTCTGAAAGATTGCTCTCTACCTCTTCTTCTTTCCACCGCTCTGCCCACTCTCCCTTCGCCTCTGTCAACTTCCTGTGTTTGGAGGGCGTGACAGAGTTGGAGTCAGCCACAGACTGGGACTGTTTTACAGAGGGACCTCATTGTGACATTATCATGAGGGAGACTTGGGAGACTCTGTGTGAGCTGGGTGCCTTCCTGCAGCAGGTGAGCAAGGAGGGAGGCTGCAAGACCCGCTGCGTGGACCAGCTGTTCGGCCTCAGCGCCGGAACCACCCAGAAACGAGGTGTAGGCAACCAGAAGAGGGTCAAAGAGGTGGAGGCAAGGATTCGCCAGGCGGGACTGACCCCTCCATCCCTGATGAAGCGCTCGGCCTCTCTGGCCAAACTGGGTTGTCTAGAGCTGCTGGCCAACGACCTGAGTGAGTGGGAGATCAGCCGCTCGTCCGTAGCCCCGTCCTCCGCAGAGCCCGAGACCCACACAACCAGCGATGAGTCCAAGAAGCAGCGTGTCCACAACTCGTCTTCCTCAGCCGAACAGCAGACGGAAGACATTGAGACTGGAGAGGAGAGGCTTTCTGAAGCTGGAGAAACCTCACCAGGAGTCTCTCCACAATCCAGTCCGCAGAAAGGAGAACTGCCTAACGCTGACCAAGTCTCTCCCGACTCACATGGGCTGTCACTCACGGCAACAAGGCAGCAGTATGGAAGGACTCACCCCCTGAATCAGCTCAAGAAAAGAACTAGTACTGTTTACCATACCATGTAACCCTCACTGTGTCCGTCTCTGTGTGTGTGTTTGTATGTGTGTGTGTTTGTGTGTGCGAGAGCGAGAGGGATTATGCACACCTGTGAGAAATAGTAATCAAGTGCATAAATGTTGGATTTATTCAGTAAAACAAACCAATGCCTCTTGCCTTAAAGGATATGATCACATTTGTCTGTACATTTTTCTCTGCAGATCTGCTGAGGGCCTCTGTGATATCTGACATATGAGACTTTTCTCAGTGCAAGAACAGTGACAAGGCTATGAAGGGTCCGGTCAATTGGTAATAAAACTTGAGTCAAATTGGAAGAAGCGCTTTGATGTGTAAACACGTTCAAAAACAGTCATCAAAATAAATATCTTGTTTCAATTGTTATATACCTGAGCCTGCACATATTCACTCCCTTCACCATTGCTGGTTCCTGATCGCTGTTGTTTTTTTGGATTGTCCGACCTGGTGTTAGGTGGAATGTAGTTTATTTTCTTTCCTCTTTCCTTGTGCTTCTCTGCATCAGTTTTTGCTATTTGTGCTGGGTAACTGCCAAACAAATGATACAGCCAGTACAATCTGACGGTAAATAATGTACTCTACATCAATCTAAGGCTATAACACACTTCTCAAGTTTGGCAGAAAAACTGTTTTAATGACAATACCAAGCAAGGTCAATTCTGCTCTCTAGGGACTGATTATTAACATGGGTTGTGCTAACAGCTGCACATCTAAGCACAAAGAGCTCAAGTCGACCCAAAGACACAGGAACATCAACAGAAAATGACTGCATAGTTGTTTTTATGAAAAAAAGAGGCATGCTTTTTTTTTTTATATATATTTATATTTGTTTTGACTATAGAATACCTCAGTAAGTCTGAACCATATCTCACCTTAATGAACGTCAGACTCTGGATTCCTGGAATGTTTCCGACTCAGAAACAATTTCCACTTCACTGCTCGAGGTGAAGTACTCTCGTCTCTCTTACGTCCTTTCTCAGTTCTGATGCCACTCAAACAAGACATGTTATGTATGTGTTACTGTGTGGGAGAAGGGTAGTTTAGGGGCTGGGGGCTGAAAGCAGAGTGTATATTTGTGAGGTTTCTGCGATGTTCTCTTTGGGATGTAAAGGTCTATATTGTGAGTGTTGACAATTGTAGGAACTGTACATGTTTTTATATCTGGTTTGTGACTGTGTATGAGTGCGACTGTGCAGCACAATTTGACTATGTGGGTGTGTACTTTATTTGTTTTTAATTCATCTCTTTTGTACACATTTTAGGAGTGTGCCTGTGACTGGCAAATGAGGCTTCTCTGCAGTCTATCAAAATGTCTGTACAGGGAGGTCTGTCATACATGCACTTTACTCCCTTTTTCTTTTTAATGTGGCTTTTTTTTTTTTAAATGTATGGTTGCTACTTTTGGGGAGCATGCTTAGGTAGTAGCAGCTGTTGGGTATGGGTGTCTATTGTCAAAAACTGAGTTTTTCATTTGTTTTATTTTAAACTATCAGTGTAAATATTCTTTTATATCATGTGCTCCAACTGTGACCATTAAACAATGGAAAGTATTGAGTCTATGTTGCTGTGTGAGTGTTTTTACAGTAATGTAAGTCAAGACAAGATGTGTTTTTTTAATAAGCAAAGACTTATAGATTTTAATTGTTTAGTCTATGAAATGTCCAAAAACGGTGAAGAAATTATACACATTCCAAACCTTGGGACACATCTTTAACTTGCTTATTTGTTTTGACTGACAGTTCAAAGCTGAAGATATTCAATGTACTATTATATAACATGGATTATAGCAGAACATCTCTACATTTATGTAGTTAGGGCCAGTTCTGCTCTGCTTTATGGACCAATGTCAGAGCACATTCACTGTGAATGTGTTAACACTCATTTATTTCGCCTATGGTTAACTTCTCAATGTTTTGTACAGCATCGGGAGTGTTTTTCATTATAAGAGGTGAGTATGATCTATTTTACTTAAGTTTAGTATTTGTTTTAAAATAGGAAGTAGTTTCACTGGAAACTGTTATCCTTAACACTTTATTGGGGGAAACTGCAGGTTAAGCCAGCAGGAAAATCGTTTGCATGTATTTAAATCCAAACCCAAATGTAGTTTTAGTGAAACAAATATCCAGTCAGGGGTTAATTTAAATACTATACAAATGTACTCAAAACAAGTAGCTGCCGCAGTATGAGCTACAAAAGGGAAAATGGAAACCTCAAGATTATTGTTTAATAAATGGATTGTTTGGAAACGTCTTATCACTGAAAACTCATATAAAGTACAGTACGGTTGATCATGTGACAAACAGTGGTGTAAAGTAACTAAGTAGATTTACTCAAGTACTGTACTTAAGTACAATTTTGAGGGACTTGTACTTTACATGAGTATTTCAATGTGTTTCTACTTTGTCCCTTTACTCCTCTGCAATTCAGAGTTCAATAGTGTGCTTTTACTATATATTTAATACCTTTAGTTACTTTGCATATTTGGATTGATGATATGAAATACAATCAACACTAAAATAAAGGTTTTTTCTAAACCTGAGTAAATTCACAAGCTAACCTGAGGTATACAAAGAAATCAAAATTAGCTGCGACTTAGCTATGATAAAAACTTGAAAGCATCAATCATGATTAAAATATATAATGTATATATAATTCAGAAATGGGCCATTCTGCATAATGAGTACTTTGCTGCTAATACTTTTGTACTTTTACTTAAGTATCATTTTGAATGCAGGACTTTTACTTATAACAGAGTATTCCTACACTCTGGTAGCCTCCTTCTACTTTTACTTAAATACAACAACACCTGAGTACTTCTTCCACCTCTGGTGACAAACATGAACTCATGACATCTTGCAAACAAACTATTCGATTCATTTGGTTTGTGACAATATCAGGGTTAATGTCCTTTAAGTCACTATTAGACTTTAGAGACCTCCACAGTTGTGACACTGACCCCCGGGCCTGGGCCCCTGTAACCGGCGCGAGTCACGTTTCCCGCACTGACAGAGCCTGTTCCAAAATAGACAGCGGCACCCACCCACCCTACACCCACCTTCTCTCCCTCCCTCCCACACCCTCCTCTCCCCCTGCACTGCCCCGGTACCGTTTCTTTCCTGTCGAGGAGCGTCACGTAGTTGTCCAGTGCGTCTCCTCAGAAACTCCACCGGTTCGCAGGGACTATCATTCAAAGGAATACCAGCAGTGGAGCAGCAGGAGTGAGACCACACAACAGAAACCGGGAACCAGGGACAAGGGGTCTCCCCAAAAACCTGAGGTGAGCTGTGTGGGCTATCTTTCCTAGTATGAGTGTCGGTGCTGCAGTGGGGTGGGGGGGGGGGGAGAGGTGCGTCAGCTTCTCCACTGCACTGCTGGGGAGGACTGAGTGCCACCCCACCAAAAAAAACATAAAAATACAGAGTCGGACATGGTGATAATGCACTTTCCCTCTGAAGGAGCAGATCTTGAGTCCTGCATGGCAGCTGCACTTTAAGAAGCACGTTGCACATTAACCTCCCCCCTCTCCCTCCCTCACACCTCCCACGCACCTGCCAGCCTATGTTGCTGTGTTTATGTGTGTTTGTGTAGTTTATATTTACGATCCGGTTTATTAACGATAAAGCGACACACAGAGAGGCTTCATTCTGGGACTATTTAGGAGAGGCTGTGGGGGGGGAGGAGCGGCCCGGGTGGGACAGTGCAGTTTGTCATGTCTATATTAGGAAAGTGGCAGTGTCATTCTTTCGCTCTGTGTCGACTCTCCAGAGCCATGGAGGGCTATCTCATTAACCTGAGGCAGAATTAAAGGAGCAGGTCTGAGGTTCTCAAGATTTCATTTACTTTAACTTCCATCACGTATTTTTGTTTCTATCTTTTTATTTAAGTGCGACTATCTCCACTCGGGGGTGAATTTATAAGTCTATTTTAGCTTCTATATCTCTTGCACAATGTTCAAACTTTTACTTTGAATTCGTTCTGGCTTTCAACTGCCAATATCTGTGTATATACAAATACAGAAATGTTACAGATTTCCCAAAGCATTTACCCTTATCCAATACCAGTGGAAGCTTCAGGGATATATTTTATCAAATGTTTTATGTAAGATCTTGACTTTTCAAGGATTTTTTCTAACTAGACCACAATAAAGCCATTTAAATGTTTAAATCAGATGTCAAGGCAAATAGGGAATCCTTTGTCAAGTTCAAAATACATTTGGTTTGTAAGAGAAGTATAGTTTTGATTAATGCTCTTGAGCATCTCATTTATGTGGGGGAGAAAGCACAGGATTAACATATTGTTGATACAAGTATCTCATCTGACATAGTATGAATGATATTGTGCTCTCCCTGATAATCCCCACAGCAGGGGACTGAAGTGGTCTCTGGAATGTAAATCTCTCGATAACAGAGAGCTTCCAGGAAAGAAACGAGAGCTTCTGACCTCTCATCAGACTGGTTGAGTCATGTATCCCACAGTCTTTGGGTTTAGATTGAGGCTACATAATGTATATTCCATTGTGAAGTTAGATTTTTTAATTTTTTACCTTATGTTAGGCAGAGCGGGACTGTAAGTCGAATCTTTTAATATTCTCCTTGGGAATGTATCAAATGTGTGTTATTGAATGTAACTGCTGCCTTGTGTTGTGCGCTGCCATATTTTAAGTTCTCTCCCTCTTCAACCTGCTCTGTGTCTCACTGCTCTCTCTGTTGTTTGGCCATCACATAGTGTTCAGTGGGACAATCATCTATAAATATCTGCAGTGGTGGCAGGCACTGTTATAGAATATCCCCCCTGTTTTTTCTGTGAGGATTACTGTCTCTCTGGCCGGTCCCTGGACAGCCGCAGGACAGCAAGTAGTCGGTCAACAAACACATTGCTAAGTTCATTATTCAGAGAAATGCAGGGGGTTATTTAAAGCACCTGAAACCTTGGCTTCGATTCAAAGTATATCCATACAGCATCAAATATTCAAGGCTAAATATGCAACATCAAGGGTAAACAACATCTTCAAGTATTATTTATTGTGAGTTTAGCATTTCAAATCTCAGTTTACCAGGGCTATGTGTGTGTGACTTTTATCTGACTGACAATTACATTAACAACCCATTGATGGACATTGATTCTGATTGAATGTTGATAAATCCTTATTGGTGCATTGATGTAAGTGAAATCACATTTACAGACTGAGTCCTGTGTCAAGTTAATGACAATAAGTAGTATCTCTGATTAATGATTGCAACTTTGACAGATAATAGTGTGTTCATATCGACCTCTTCCTTCATCGTAACAAACTTAATGATCTAAAAGAGCCTTTAAAGTGTATTGATGGTTATACAGTATGAATTGTATCCTGTATTAGTCAGTTGGTTTAACAGTGTTTCTGAAGTGAATGTAATTATGAGTCAAGTAGAACTATACAAGAAATAAAGTCCTTACTAGCATCATATAGATCATCTTGTATCTATTTTATATTCATTCCAATATGAATGAAATAAATACCAAAGAAGTGTGAACTGCCCTTGCAAAATAAAAGCCTTCAAAGCACCACAGAGTAACAGAGTCAATCTTCACCCCTAAAAAACGAATGAAAACAAAACCAACTTGCTCATAACAACGCATCAGGTGAGAGTTGCTGCTCAGAGAGAACACACTTATAAACATTTTACCCCAGCCTGCCTCAATAACAAAGAACGTGGCATCCTACATACTGTATAAGTGAACGTAAAACATGAAAAGTACAGGTTGTGTGTACACAATGTGTAATAGTGTCACAACAAGCTCTTCTGGGCGACTGTGGCTGCGAGGGAGTGCGGTCGTCTTTCAACCAGAAGGTTGTGGGTTCGATCCTAGCCCATGCAGTCAACATGTCGATGTATCCTTGGGCAAGATACTTAACCCTGAGTTGCTCCCGATGGCATGGCCAACGGTGTGTGAATGTGTATGAATGTTAGTTCCTAGAGTAAGGTACACTGCTCTGTATGAATGGGTGTGAATGGGTGAATGACATGTAGTATGTAAAGTGCTTTGAGGGGTCTTAAGGACTGGATAAAGCGCTATATAAGTACAGTCCATTTACCATTTCTGCTTTAACCATTTATTTGGTCTTGGGCAGCATTTGTTTGGTAAATCTGATTAAATGCTTTTTCTGAAGTTTTTTTTTTCCCCTATTGAGATATTCTTTTCAACGAAACACAGATCGATTCATTCAAAATCAAACATTCATAGCCATATTTGCCCAACATGAATAAATAGTATGTCATTCTCTGCTGGTGATTTGCAGTGTTAGTTATATTTGGTTTAACAGTTTGGTTGCTGACATTTTTTATGAATGTTAAACATTATACCGTCTCCTATGCCATTGTTTTTTATTTGTCTTACTTTCAAGTCCTACCCACTCATCCTCTCCCTTCTCTTGTTTCTTCCTCTTCTCTTCCTCCTCCTCTCCTCCACTTGCCACAGCCATGAGTCGCAGCATAGTGCGGCAGAGTAAGTTTCGCCACGTCTTTGGCCAGACGGTCAAAGCTGAGCAGGGTTACGATGACATCCGTGTTTCCAAGGTGACGTGGGACAGCTCCTTCTGCGCCGTCAACCCAAAGTTCCTGGCGGTCATCGTGGAGTCGAGCGGTGGAGGAGCGTTCCTGGTGCTGCCCCTCGTTAAGGTCAGTGAGGTCAAATAAGGAATCATTTCAGTGTCTATGATTCAGTGTCACTTTGAAATCTGAACGTGTACATGCTTTGATAAATGTTGCAAATGCTCACTTACAGTCATATGAAAATCAATCCTATGCCTTTGCTTATACTTGTTGTTTGGATTACTTCATGTGCTCAATAGGCAAGGATGTTGGTGCTACAATAAGGTATACCAAAAATGAAATGTGGCTCATCATCATAGATTAAGAAAAACATTTCAAACTTGTGATGCTGCAGAGTGAATGTGGAAAAGATTATAGACAAAACTCCTAGTATTAAGATATTGTTTTGAGTAATATAATATATTTCTGCCCTACTGTCTCTATAGATGGCATGTCGGTCTGACTGTCAGTGGATCACTCAAACATCTTACTTAAAGGGGACCTATCATGCAAAATGCACTTTTGTACGTCTTTTATACATGAATATGTGTCCCCGGTGTTCCAGGGAACTCACCAAGTGTCAGAAAACACAACCCTCTCTATTTTCCTCCATACCCAAATCTCTACAAACGGGGCTGCAACGGATCTGATAAAAACTGATCCAGATTTGAACACTGTCCTGACGTCAGGACAGTGGCGCTACGGCTATTGGGCCAACTCCACCAATCAGGAGGAGACAGCCACGGCCATTGCCATTCGAAAGCGCTGGAGACGCTGTAGTACATATGCCAGGCCTGTAGATGGTGCTGTTCTCACAGAATCAGCCCTTGCAAAAACAGAGCTAACATTTTTCAAATTGAGCGAAATGAGGCATGGCTAAAATGCATGATCTGTTTGGTATTTTGAAGAAAAAAAAGTATAAATATGCCTTATACTGTATAGGTATGGTCCTACACTATATTATTCAAATATAGCATGATAGGTCCACTTTAATAATGGATGTATTGACATAAACATTTCATATAGCTATTCATGGTCTCCATAGGATACATCCTATAAACTTAATCCTCTAACTTTCCCTCTAGAACTAACATCCCGTCACTTCAAAATGGTTGTTTTCAGTGTTGTGGTTGATGAAGCAAATACCTGCAAAACTATTGACAATCCATCAGTTATAGATGTACTTGTTAGCTTGGTGCTCATTAGATAAGATGTTAAACATGGTTAACATTAAACCTGCTAAACATTGGCATGTTAGCATTACCATTGTGAGAATGTTAGCATGTTAGTATTTAGCTCAGAACATCACTGTGGCTAAATACTCACAGTCACTAACATATCTGTAGACTAGAAGGAGATGAACAATAAGACATTAAGATCATAATTGTGCATTCTTTCAACACAACAACAGAAAAGTGTGTTTTCTATGTATTTGACTGTATGTTGAAATAAAATGTAGTCCATCTTTCGTGCTCATCTTTGCCAATCCCAGCTATCTTTGTCATGCAAGAGACAGGGTTAACAAGGACATAAAATAAGAGAGGGAGAACTATACAGGGAAAGATAAAGAAAAGTAAACATAGTTTGCTTTTCTCTTGTATAGCACAGTATATAACTTGCTAGCTTTATTGCTTAGTTTCCGAAGCTCATGCAAGGTAAAGCAAAGAGGAAAACTGAAATCTGTGCAGCCACTTCAGATCGTTGTACTTTTGTGTGACGGATATTAAAATAAATGATACATCCTTGACATTTTACAGTACAGTGCATCTTCTAAACTGCAAACACCTCACAGTCGTTTCACTATGCTGCCAGATCTTGCATCAGATTCCTAGACTAAGCTCCAGTGGTGTTTGAAGGCTCGTCTCAGTAACCAAACGTTCTCTGATGTTTAGCTATAAGTAGATACAAGAGGATCGATGTTGCATGACATAATCAGCTGTAATGAGGAGGGTGAAGAGAAGGACTCCCAACGCTTTGGCAGACAGCTCTGTACTGAGGTCACATTTTCTCATGCAACCCCAGATACAAAGAAAAGGCTGTGTCATCCTTATAAAACTTCTTGGAAGAGAGAAAAAAGGTGCTTTGGTTAATTCAATGCAATCCTTTTTTTTAAACTTGATTTTGTTTTCCTTTCTTGGCAGAGACTAAAATATTAGTTTCTAGCTGTAATGTTGGGAAAGACTTGCAAAGGACATTCTTTCTATAAGGAAAAGCAACAGATCAGATATTTAAAGATGTGATGCTTCATTGTGGCTCGGAGACTCAACATCGCCTTAAAACAAACCATGGAGATCCTAAAGAAAAAAATTAATTTGTCTTAATATTTTATGGTTAAGGGAGATAATATTTTAATCTATTACCAGGTTAGATATGCAGCTCCAGTGACCCTATCTAAGTAAAAGAGATTTCCAGTGTTGTATGTCACGTTTGATGCATTTATGCAAAGCTAAAATTGCTTTGAGTTTTGTTTTGATATGATGAAAATAGTGATCTAAAAATCAATACTTAAAGGTAGGGTAGGTAAGTTTGAGAAACCGGCTCGAGATACACTTTTTGTTATATTCCATGGAATGCTCTTAACATCCGATAGCAATGAATATCTTAAAGGTGGGGTAGGTAAGTTTGAGAAACCGGCTCGAGATCGCTAGAATTTGAAAATACACAACCGGAGAAAATCTGCCACTTCCTTATAGAGCCCCTCCTCCAACACACACGAACGCGCACATGACCAATGAGGGCACGAGATAAGTTTGTGCACAGATGGAAGGCTGACAGGCAGGTAGGCCATCCAGTTATTTTAGCCGGGCCGGCTAAAATGATTGGTCGTACTTTTTACAGTATTACGGCTTCCACAGATGACATTTTTTTATGGATTTTTTGTCAAAGCACTTAAGATATTCATTGCTATCGGGATGTTAAGAGCATTCCATGGAATATAACAAAAAGTGTATCTCGATCCGGTTTCTCAACTTACCTACCCCACCTTTAAGTGCTTTGACACAAAATCCATAAAAAAATGTCATCTGTGGAAGCCGTAATACTGTAAAAAGCACGACCAATCATTTTAGCCGGCCCGGCTAAAATAACTGGATGGCCTACCTGCCTGTCAGCCTTCCATCTGTGCACAAACTTATCTCGTGCCCTCATTGGTCATGTGCGCGTTCGTGTGTGTTGGAGGAGGGGCTCTGTAAGGAAGTGGCAGATTTTCTCCGGTTGTGTATTTTCAAATTCTAGCGATCTCGAGCCGGTTTCTCAAATTTACCTACCCTACCTTTAACTGCTGAAGTTGATTTAATCCCTCATCCTCTCAGCCTTACACTTTTGTTCTGAAATTGATGATTTACCTATTTAGTTTTCTGATTGTGAGACGAAAGCTCCACCTCCTTCTTCTAATTTATAGTTCTATGGGTTAAGTTGATGTGATAAGATTTCAGTAAGATTTGTTAAGTGTTTATAAACCCTGCTTCTTTTTGGGTAGCAGCTTCACACTCCGTCCAGTTAGCTGCAGATCACAGCTCATGGTGTTACTCTCCAAATAACCTCTGACGCTGTCACGCTGCTATAATCAGACAAGTCTGTAGCAATTTAGTTGCCCAGTGAGTAGCCTGCACACAGCAGGCATCAGTGCTGCTAACACCACCAGCCAATCACAGTCCAGCATTATGAGAAGTAAAAAGTTAATTGACTCCAGTCGGAAGAATACTGCTGTTTGCGTAATAACAATATTGGAAGAATGTTCATATTTTAAAATCCACAAGAGTTATGGTAGAGTTATATTTAGACTAGAGGTAGGAATGATCAGAATTTTGTTCCCTTTTTGAGATTAATCGTTTGAATTTTCATGGCTATAACAAGGACATCACTGCTGAGTGTCATCAACATGCCAGCAGTGATAATTAGTCACAATGAGCTTTTTGGAGATGGTTTGGATGTGATTATAAACTGTAGTCATGGTGAACAGACATGCTATTAATACACACCAACGTGCTCTCGCCCTCCATCAGCCCCCCCCCCCCCTTCAAGTCCCCAACAGGCCAGAAGAAAAACTCCCCTTTCAGTGCCCCGTTGCTCAGCTATAAATACACTCTCCTGGGGTGTGTGTTGTATGTGTGCGGAGGGAATTATATCTCAAAAGTTGAAACACATGTTCACACTATAGGAACAGGAAAACATGGAATAACTTGGACCTGACATCGTTTTTTTTGTTTAGTTTTTTAGTATACACCATATTGAAAGAAAAATATTCCCTTGAAGTCCACCATAATGCGTCAAGTGTTTTGTGGTTTCAGGAGAGAGTGGCCATCGACAGATCTTAAGATTTGTGGGTCAATCAGCTGCCGGTCAACAGCAACAGTCTCTGTGCCTGAATGTTGTTTTCATCCCTTAAAGTTATACCGTCCTGACACGATGCATATTTCCTATAAACAAACCTTCCATGTATAGTCAGTGTGGGCAAGAAAGTGTGGGTCAAAAGAGCCAAACAGAAAAGATTTGCCCCGCCATGACCCACTAACAGGATAAATCCTTTGTAGACTTAACAGAATGTATAGCATGTACGAAAAACTCATTGCAAGGACCAGTTTTCTTGTATCATATGATTTCAATCAGCAGATGTAGTTATTAAGGTGTTGAAGCTGCTCAAATGATCATTTTTCCTGAGCACTTTAAGGACTTTTTTTCCATGTTGGCTTAACATTTTTGAAATTGAAAAAAGAAATATTTGATCATAGGAATAGTACTAAACCACTGTAAGGTCCATTTGGAAAAACAAGTACAAATCTAACATAAAACAAGGATATTCAAACATCCACATTTTCACTAAGCAAACTATTTGCTGTGTGATGCAATAAAATCCAGGAAATAGTTACCGAAATACTCTTACATATAACTTTACATGTAAAAAAACCTTCTCTTTTAGCTTTTAACCTACATTTTTTGATGTTTCTTGACCTGCAAATCACCAAATCAACGGCTTTTCACTGTTTCCCCCTTAGTTATGACAAAAGGATGCTGGTAAGTTGTTGTATATTTACATCTAGTCCTAACTCAGTCCTGTGTCTCTGCTGCTGTGTGTTGCAGTCGGGTCGAGTGGATAAGAACTACCCGCTGGTGAACGGCCACTCTGGACCCGTCCTCGATATCGACTGGTGCCCTCATGACGACAATATCCTGGCTAGCTGCTCAGAGGACACTACTGCTATGGTAATATCAGTGTGTCTGTGTGTGTGTGAAGAAAAAAGTTCTAAGTGGGAGCGAGAATCTGCAAATGCATGTGGAGGAGTTTGTTGTTCGGTGACTCAGATAGCTGCCGTAGAGGTCATCTCAGTCTGCTTGTTAAGTGAGTGAAGTGAGTCATCAGTGTGTCTACCTGTCTGTCTACCTGTCTGTCTGTCCACCCACCTGTTCCGTCTCACCTCTTCATAAGTCTGTTTGTCATATATTTTATTTCATGACAAGTTGGTCTGCAACAAACTTTTCTCGGTACAGCACTGCTGCTTCACCTGCTGCCCAAACCTGTCCATGTTTTTTTGTATTCGTGTGTAGGTGTTTGACATGGCAGGACTTCTTTTTACATTATAAATCCTCCTGAAACTCTCTGTTCAATGATATTTTCCTGTGCATAGGTTAAGTGATTTGATGATGTTTCAGCATTATCTTTTAAGGCCGGACAACATCAGGATGTTAAAACATGTAGGTCATGTAAACACACACACACACACACACACACACACACACACACACACACACACACACACACACACACACACACACACACACACACACACACACACACACACACACACACACACACACACACAGTTATTTTAAACCTGGTTGAAATAAACTGCAGAACTCTGTAGCTCTGAATCTCATCACATAGATCAGTCAGCAGGGGTCACCGTGAGGCCTGGATTACAGGAGGTGATAGAGAAAGATGAAATATTTTAACTCTGCATTAGTATTCATGCATATAACGTGTAGAGAGACACTTTAGCTGATTGTAAAATCCTGCAAAATCCGTTTTTTTCTGATAAACAATCGAGAACAAGACAAATCAATATAAGATATTCAGTACGCTATGATGTTAAACCCAAAATCCTTGCATTGGCGACCGAGAACAAGCTGACATTATGCATTTTCGCTTTAGAAATGACTTGTCAAATAGTTGTGTGTGTTTCAGCATGTGTCAATAATAAAAAATGCATAATGACATGTCTGTTGATTCAGCACAGTTGTCACTGTGGACACATTTGCCCACATTTGTTCAACGACATCGCAGGAATCTTTGTGCGATGCATGATTGAATCGCTTCTCCTCCCAAGGCAACAGCTGCTTGGATGCTGTTAGAGTTCTTTGTGTGTGTGTGTGTGTGTGTGTGTGTGTGTGTGTGTGTGTGTGTGTGTGTGTGTGTGTGTGTGTGTGTGTGTGTGTGTGTGTGTGTGTGTGTGTGTGTGTGTGTGTGTGTGTGTGTGTGTGTGTGTGTGTGTGTGTGTGTGTGTGTGTGTGTGCTTTGTTTATGTCCAGCACACAGACAGACAGTTGCAGCTGTCCAGTTTTGGCAGTGTTGCCGCTGTGGAGCAGAAAGGTCATAACGGTGATGTCATTCTCCTCAGTTCACTGATACGGATCATTGTGTCATCTGCAAAGGCTCATAAGAGTTCAGTGTGCATGTGTTAGCATATAGGGATCAATCAATGATCTACTGTATGGCTGTATAATTAAAGAGGCAACATTTCAACAAACTGTACTGACATTAATTGGGAAAGAGTCTCTTATGTCAGCTGTGTTGTTTGTGTGTTTGTATTATACACAGTGCTTGAATTGGGCCGGTACTCACCGGTACGCAATACCGGGACTTCTGATTTTTACCCATCTGCGTACCGTTACTTCTTACAGCGTACCGGCACCTCATGACACATCTAGGTAGCATATTTGTTGCGTTTATTCCCCTGTGTCCTCCCTGGCAGCTCCATTGATTCCCTCTCTCCTTTCCTGCTGAAAGATGCATGAGTGTACTTTCATTTAACCAGCCGCCATGAGTCAGGCTTTAGCCATATCCGCTGCCTTTCATACGTACAGTGAGCCTGTCTAAAATATACAGTAAAGACTAAGAGACAAACCCACCAGCATTATAGGATATACTATATGACCTGATGCAGGCACATGTATAGGCTACGTCATGTTCTCTATGAGAGCCCCGGACACCTCCCTGATTAGTCCTGGAAAAACATGCAATTTCTGAACGTTACAGTAAATATTCTGTTTAAAAAAAAAAAACTTTTCCTTGTCTGTTAAAGTTTTTTTGTGTTTCTTTTGAATTACTGAATCAAAGATATGAGGATAAGGATAGAGGGAGTCGTATGTTGTACAGATTGTATAAATAAAATTGACTTGAAACAGTTGCTCATTTAGAGTACTGGCACCTTTTTTATTCCAATTCAAGCACTGATTATACAATTACATATACATTACACAGTATCATTTTAAAGGGCTTTTCAGGTATCTCTTAGACACAATATCATTACATTAGACCTTTCCAGATAGAAATTGGAGATTGCAGACCTCCGCCAATGCCTTTTCCATAAAGGACACTTAATGCTTGTATCTTTTCCAACATGGGACCAAACCAAATCAGAAACGTTGTCTCCTTGGATAAAGGGACGTTCTTTTGTTGTTTTATTACATAATTTTATGTGTGAAATGTTCCACATAGTGTGGGCTGGGACTGGCATTTCAAACCGTTTCGAAAATAAATAAATTGGAATGGAGGGAAATCTGTTAAATATGAAAAAAAGGAAGTCATGCAATTGTTTTCAAAAAAATACTAAATGTATAATTATGAGCTAGTGTTGTTGGCAGCTTTAGATGAAACGCCTTAGTAGGCCTGTTGGAGTTGCACACAGTTGTGGACATTAGTAGGTGGGTGTCATTGGTTGTCACCTTGACTACGAAGAAACAGAAATGTATCTCTGCAACAGTCACCGCCAGTAAATCTATGAACCAATCGTAATGAAGCAGTAAATCTGTAGTGTGCTGAGGGTCATGTAAAATGAAAGACGGGCCTTTTTAACTATCATATGTAGTCATCAAGTAGTTGTGAAGTTTACATTTAAATTTCAACAAAAGTCGAAAAAAACATAGTATATATGTTGGAAAAAAGGCCAAAGGACAAGTATAGTACGTTTGAGTATACTATGTTGGAAAAAATAAAAGTGTCATAATTTAGTTGTATAGAGTATAGTTTGTTGAAAAAAGTCATAGCATATACGTTTTAAAATTGGATGAATAATAAAAGTAAGCTGACACAGAATCAGATTTTTCTTCGTCCCTCCTCTCTAGGTGTGGCAGATCCCAGATCACTCGCTGACCCGCCCCCTCTCCGACCCCGTGGTGGTGCTGGAGGGTCACTCCAAACGAGTGGGCATCATCACCTGGCACCCCACTGCACGCAACATACTACTCACTGCGGGTAGGACACACACACATTGTTGTCTTCCAAGTCTTTTGTCTTATGTAAAAGTGTGTGAATACATTCAGATCTTTTTCTGTAACTCCAGGCAGTGATAACCTGGTTATAATCTGGAACGTGGGGACGGGCGAGCCCCTCATCACCATGGACGACCACCCAGACCTCATCTACAGCATCAGCTGGAACCGAAACGGCAGCTTGTTTTGCACCACCTGTAAGGACCGGCGTCTGCGTGTCTGCGACCCCCGCAAGAGGGACGTGGTTGCGGTGCGTGAGCAGAAAATATTGATATATACACGCTTCACAATATAGTTAATTCTAACACCACTATCAGAGTTCTTAAAAAATATGAGTATATTATATTTAATATGTATATTTACTGATATAGTAAAGGAACAATTAAGATAACAGATAATGACATTTGGGGAAATACACTAACATTGGCTTTCTGTAGAGAATTGATGAGGCAAATCCCTCCCCTTTTAAAGGCCTTGAGAACAAATATTTACAGTAATCAATGGCAAGAGACTACTTTTTTATCTTGTTTAAATTGAGGCATAAATAACACATAAATATTATAATTTTGCAAGTCAAGAGGCTTGCAGTAAGTTTTTCGTAGTAACATTAAGTTTGTGTAAAAGTTTTCAGTGAACCACATCTCTTGTCTCGATTCTTTAATTTAAAGTTGAATTGAATAAATCGTCAGGACCTCCAGACACAGTGAGACACAAAACCATTCAACAACATTGAAACTTACTTTACCCGTGATTCTAAACACATACATCAATGCTGTCGGCTGAGTTTAAATGAATCCCTAAAAATCCTGAAAAAAGGTTGCTCATAGTTTCACTTGTAGTGACGTCTGACCCTGTGCCGACCAACAGGAACGTATGGCTCCACATGAGGGGATCCGGCCAATGAGAGCCATCTTCACCAAAGACGGAAACATCTTCACCACAGGGTTCACCAGGATGAGCCAGAGAGAGCTCGGACTCTGGGACCCGGTAACAAACAAATACATCTAACATAAGCTCATCTATATCATAAGGAGAAGACATGTACAATCACTTACATGCATTTACACAACACTTTTTCTTCATTGTTTTTACTCTCCACAGACAAACTTTGAGGAGCCAATCGCACTGTTGGAGTTGGACACAAGTAATGGAGTGTTGTTACCGTATTATGATGCAGATGCGAGCATGGTCTACCTCTGTGGAAAGGTACAGACGCATTTGATTTACTTGTCCATAAATGCTTCATAAATGCAGATTGATTGTACTTGCAGCCCTATCAATGATACAGTTTTGACTAGGTGTGTTTTCTGTGTTTGTGTGTAGGGGGACAGCAGTATCCGTTACTTTGAGATCACAGATGAGCCCCCATTTGTTCACTACCTCAGCACCTTCAGTAGTAAGGAGCCCCAGAGAGGGATGGGCTTCATGCCTAAGAGAGGTGTGGACGTCACCAAATGTGAGATCGCTAGGTAAGACACTGATGGTTCACTCCAATACAGATGTTGCATGAGAGAGGTGAAGCTTAAAGTGCTCACTATCTTTCCTCTTAACAGTAAATGTTTACATTATTGCAGTGTGTATGATAAGTTAGAGCGTTTGACTATCAAGTGCCTTACACTCTCATCATCACTGAACTGAGACCATGTTCTCACAGTGCATGATACCATCTTAAACGTTTCACATTAAAAGTATCAATTGAAATCATGTGTGACAACGACTGATGCGTCTCTTTTCTCTCATCTCTTAGGTTATTCAAGCTCCTGGACAAGAAGTGTGAGCCCATCACAATGACAGTGCCCAGAAAAGTAAGCCTGATCATTCTCTACAAGTTTCTGACTTGAAAGGAACTTAGTACATACAATTAAGTAAAATGTTTGAGGTGCTTTTACTAACCACTGTATATACTGTACATTGAAAAACAGAAAAACACATCTGTCTTTTATTTATTCACCTCTGCACCTCTCTTCCAGTCGGACCTCTTCCAGGACGACCTGTACCCGGACACAGCGGGGCCCGAGCCCGCCATGGAGCCTGAGGAGTGGCTGAACGGCCGCGACGAAGACCCCATCCTAGTGTCTCTAAGGGGGGGGTATGTGGCGCACAAGACCCGGGAGTTCAAAGTGTCAAAGAAGAACGTGCTGGACTCCAGACCAACCACCCGACGCAGCGTGTCCACTTTGGACACCAACAATCTGCCGGTAAGTTGTGGCATTCGCTAAAGTACCACATAGAGAATAACCTGTGTATGTATATAGAATATTACATTAATGTATTGTTGCATACAAGGGCCAATTTGGGATTTTAATGCGACATTTTTCATGTTATTGTTGACATACTATACTACTGTATGACTTATTTTCTTATTTTTTGAAATACCATTATGATTTTTGTTTTATATTTTTCGACATACTATACTATGACTTATTTTTCAGATATACTGTACTTTTACTTTTTTTATATTTTTCGACATACTATAAAAATACTTTTTCCATTATATTTTTTGACAAATTTGGAGCGCCACCTTCACCAAGGCGATCAAATATATATACACTGCATATATATACAATTGTACATTACTTGTGTATTCTAATCTGTGTTCATTTAAGTTGCCACCTAAGCTTTACTGCTTTTGATCTGATTATGTTGCACAGTTTTGCGATTCACTCTAGCTTTGCAACCGTTACCTGAATGCACCATTCCTCCTGAACATCTGCCTCTCTGTTTAACATGTTTTCTGTTTATCTCTCCTCTATTCATACCTGCCCACAACCTTTTTCCCTAAAGCTCCCTTCTTTGTTTTGGTTTATTTCTCCTAGTTGCTCACTGTCCTTGACCTATTTTTCCTCTCTTTTTCTTTGTCCCAAATTCTCCGCTCCCCGTCACTGTCTTTATTCCTTCCTTCTTCCCTTTTTTCTTCTCTTCTTTCTCTGGCGGTCCAGCCTGAGTTGCTTGGGAGGTTGTTGGAGGAGCTGCAGAATCTGAAGGCCACAGTTTTGTCTCAGGAGAAGAGAATCTCTGACTTGGAGAATAAGCTTTCCCAGTTCACTAATGGCACTGACTGACGTGAAACATGCGTCTGAAGAACTGGTCTACATCTCAAAAATATGTATCTATACAACTATTATAGAAATACATTTCCCTTGTTTTTTTTTCAAGGAACCAGTCTCCTAAATACTCCAACAGTGTAGCTCCTTTAAAAAAGGTACCATTTTGTAAAAATATGAATGTGGACATTGTCCATGCAAATAGACAGTCAAACTAATTTGAACAAATAACATCCATAATGTGTAATTGTTTGGCAGTTTTTCTACATAATCCTCATTCCAGCTCTAACACAATATACCTTTACTGCTATGGCAAACATATTTGTAATATATAAGTCAAGAATGAGAAGAGTACAAAAGTGGAGTGAGGGAGCTGCAGGTTAGAGGGACGTGTGCACGTTGGGTTGAAGGTCTGAATGAAGTCAGCATTGTGAACACTTTTAAACAATACTGTCACACCGTAGTAAAAATCAAAAATACTTTCTGCTTGGAATGGTTTGGCTTTTGGTAAGTTGCATTGACAAACTAACATCACGCTAAACAAATCTAAATGCTTCAGTAAGAGACAATCACCGACCAGTTTATTTAGACTCTTTGAAAACTCTTCAAAATGTAAATAGTGATAAAAGGAAACAGGAGAAAAAATGTTGAACTTGTAGCAAATTGTGAAAAGCCAAATGTTGTGTGTTCTGTAAAGCAATAGACACATTATGACAACAATAAAAATCAGTGTTTTTTAAATAGTTCTGCCTCTTCAGTTTGTTGTTACAACATTTTCAATCAAACAATCCTGATAAGAAATGACAACCTGCCATTCAGAGGTGGGGACACTTTCCAGTCCATCTTTATATGACAGTCTGCATGTAGACTGTTTTTTCCAGTGAGCCTCTCTCTTCAGTTGTAGTGTTATGATTGGGTCATAAACAGAAAGACATGCATTCACTGTACAGAAGGCAGAAAATAGGCCCCAGGATTTACAACAGCAGTCATAAGCCTCAGCAACCAGCGAAACACAGCATGATATATCCACAAAATCAGTTTGAGGGAAGCTTCATTACTTTTTTTTGCCACAAGGGGGCAGATCAAATCCAAAAAAGATAGGGAATTATGAATTATGTTATACTGAAGCACATTATTTCTGAATGCAGCCCAAAAAGAATCAAGAATGAAACAAATGTATGTATGCAGACACTCAATATTGTAAGTAAGTGTTAACAACATCTAGCCTTTAACACATCAATCTGAAACAAGGTCATCAAACCACCTGAAAACCACCATGTTTTTCTTTTGTCTCTTTTTTGGTCTTCACAAACTCCTAAATAAATGTGTGTTTGCTACATATTTCACTGTATCACTTACTTTGTGTTGCTACACTAAGCTAACAGTTAGCTTCTGGTATCCGGTTTGGGTAAGTTTGCAACTTTAGGGAACACTGGGTTTAACTTTGATAACCAAAACCAGTTTATTGCTGCAAACTCTGATGATGAAAATAAACCAGACTGCAGGATAATATAGTCAATTGATTGAGTGTTTGTAGAAGTAGAAACCTAGATTATTGCAGCTTTCATTATTTGCCCTAACACCACTACGATTAGACAAAGAGACCCCTGAGTCACTTTGGTGGACAGAGAATTAGCGTAAAAACAGATGTCGACATTTCCCACTCTGTCCACAACCACCAGCTCCACATTAGGCGAACAACAAGAAGCATTGTAGGAAACCAGTGTTATTTGTTCATTTCCAGCAGCCAGGCTAGTGTTCAAAGTCCCGTTGCCCTGTCTGAGAGTAACACTGTCAACACCTGAGCCTCCTTCCCCATCAGTCACCTGGACAGAGAGCTCCCACATTGACGAGCTGCAGGAATCAGAGCAGGTGGACTGCAGGCTCAGCAGCGTACACACCGGCGGAGCGAAATCAGTCACCTATGGGAAGAAAATGATTTACATCAGCGAGTTCATCAAGAAGGGGAAGAAGGTAACGATGTAATTCATTCAGTTTTCTAGCAATGGAATATAAGTAAGTACATTTTCTCAAGTATAGTATACATTTGTATCTGTACCTAACGCAAGTATTTACATTTGCTAAGTCAAGAGGAGGTCGGCTGATTATTATTCAACAAATGGTTGAAGTGATCAGTGCTTTTTGTGCCATAGGCTTCCATACAATGACTATGGATGACATTTGTATGGCATAGTATAACATGACATTTGACATGAAATCCTACCTTTGTAAATGAAGATCAGGTCAGCTGAACATGCAAACATTTAAATATGCCTACAGGCATTCAGCGAAGGAAAAAGCTCAAATAATAAATAAATATTTACACAGGTTTAAAATATTTCAAGAAATTCATGTTTTTCCAGTAATAAGATACGGAGGTTCTCTCCCGATAATCACAGACCACAAATATTTGTATGAGTAAAAGTGACTCTTCAGTGGGAGTTTTACCGTGTTAAAGACAGAGAAACGCATCACCACATAGTTTGTGTCTTGGCCCCCCGGAGCCTCGGCCTCGATGGTCAGGGTGACGTCGGTCCCAGAGGGGGTGTTCAGAGGAGCGGAGAGGGTCACCGTGTCGTTGGCTCTGTTTCCAGCTTCCAGGAACAAACTGGTTGGAGACGCTAAGTCAAAAACCTCGGTTGTTAGTGGCTCGGATGGAAATGTTTCCCTCTATTTCGTGGCTCATCACTGAGAAGGGCACAGAGAAAGGGGTTCCTGGTTCCAGGATGCTACTTGAATCAGCCTAAAGACAGAGGGAGTCAGACAACAGTCAGGTTCTGTAGCAATGATTCAAGTGGACATTTACATGCAGGCTTGGGGAGTAACAAGATTAAGTAATCAGGATACAAAGAGTAGGAACTGTATTCAATTACAAAAAAATCAAGTAAACAGATGACTGTTACATTTTTTTTAATTGAGATTACTAGCAGAATTACAGTGTGACATTAAGAAATAAAGATACATATATAATAGGTAGACAAACTGAGTGAATTTTCTTTTTGGCTACTTTCATTCTTTTAATATATTATGTTTTTAAATGCAGTAGACAAAAAAACTGTGTATACTTTTAATTAAAGTTTTAAACTAAAACAGCATTTGTTAACTTAAGTATAATGTAGGCCTTGCCTTAATTTAAGATGACACATTGATCTGTTGTCTTACATTATACACTACATAAACATCTGACTGATATTTTTTTACTTTTGTTTTGATTTGCTTTGCATTTCATATTAAGGTCATCCAAAAGTTACAGGTTACATTACTTTTATATTATGCAACTTAGATTAGGTTACTCATAAAACATGTTGACATGTAACTAGTTATTGTAATGGTTTACAGTTTTAGAGTAACCCTCCCAACCCTGTTTACATGTTTAGTTCCACCTCCTCTCATGTGTGGTGTTTGTGTGTCACAGTGTTGGTCTGGGATGGGTACTCACAGTGATCATCAGATTAGAGGCTCTGAAGTTGGTTGATGACTGCCTTATGAATACTATTGGTCCATTATTCCCCTTCACCCGCACCACAAACTCCTCTGATGGGATCCTGTCGACGAGAACTAAGAAGTTCCCGCTCCCCTGCGACTCCACGACGCCTTTAATCTCTCCTGACCCCGACGATTCAACCAGAGCAACTTCTGTCACCGTGGCAGAGTCACTCCCCGTTAAAGACACCAACAAGCTACCGTTGACACCTTTTTTAAAACAAAAATGATCATGTTTGAATTGACAATGTTATTTTATATCTGCATATCTTCAAAGTAACATCCTAACAGTTTCCTTTACCCGCTCTGGGACGTGTGTCAAGAGCATCATATCCTGGGAACGGGCCCTGAGAGACCTCCACAAAGTCAAACAGGAAGTCAAAAGGACTCTGACCTGCAAATCAAAAGTTGTGAGAAAAAAGGATTAGTGTACATATACAGAGTTTCTTTAAAAAAAAACTTTCGACAAAGCTAAAGCATGATACTTGAGTTTTCAATCTGTATTCCAAATTATATGGATTACCACTACCACAAAATCATCTTAAAGGTGGGGTAGGTAATTTTGGAGAAACCAGCTCGAGTGCGCTAGAATTTGAAAATACACAACCGGAAAAAATCTGCCACTTCCTTACAGAGCCCCTCCTCCAACACACACGAACGCGCACATGACCAATGAGGGCACGAGATAAGTTTGTGCACAGATGGAAGGCTGACAGGCAGGTAGGCCATCCAGTTATTTTAGCCGGGCCGGCTAAAATGATTGGTCGTGCTTTTTACAGTATTACGGCTTCCACAGATGACATTTTTTTATGGATTTGTTGTCAAAGCACTTAAGATATTCATTGCTATCGGGATGTTAAGAGCATTCCATGGAATATAACAAAAAGTGTATCTCGAGCCGGTTTCTCAAACTTACCTACCCCACCTTTAAGTACTTTGCCAATAATTGACAGATAACATTTAGGATGATTTTGTCCTCATGTATGAACTCAAAGCTTTGTGTTGAGCTACTGTATACTTTAATATTCTGCCTTTAATCTTTGTTCATTTGACAAGGGGTTCAAATATAAACCGGAAATTAGAATATGGATGGGAAACCCAATTATTATGCTTTGGCTTTATGAGAGTCTAAAGTGATGCCAGCTGTTCTGTGAAGCTGTACTTAGGCAGGTGTTTTGATCTAAATGCTAACCTCAGCATGCTAACATGCTCACATTGACAATGATAAAATGTTTGTCCTTTAAATTAAGGTACTAATTGAATAGCACTTAAAACATGCAGCTGAGCTGCCAGGCTTAAGGTAATGTGTTTAGTTAACACATAAAATATTGCTGGTAGTCTCACCTATGACCTTCAGAGTGTACGGATTAGTCGACACCATATTCATTGTCCACAGTCCGACTTGTTTATCAAGCTGCAGAGTCTGGAAGTTTCCGACTGACCGGGATGTAATGATCAATGATCCTTTTGAGTTTGTGCTTTGCTCAGATTCACCTTCAAAGAAAAAACACCAACAAGCAGGAAGGAAACAGTTACAATCATTTTCAATTTTTGTTGCTTTTATTGCAACATTTTTGCAAAGACCAATTTCTCTTTTTTTGTACATCATTTGGATTTTGACTGCAAACACATGGTTTATTAAGCTACTTTACAGCATGTTTGCATGATCTCCTCAGGTCATACTATAATATGACTTTTTAATGTAAAAAAGTACATAAAGTAATGAATCAAAATACATCTAAACCAGCAGGTTTTGTTAAACTGGATAGCGGATGGTAGTCTGTGGTTGTTCTGAAATTACATCCCAATGACTTAAAATGCACTATGACTTACTGATGATGAAATGATGCACATAATGTGTTGAGTGTTATCATACAGAGTGTGACAGTTATTACCTGTGGGGCTGGTGAGAGTGAAATTGATGGAGCGTCCAGTAATGTAAACTATAGGGTTCATTATTGTTTCATCAACCATAAAGGAGAACGTATCGTTGCTGCCTGGGCTCCTGGCTGCCTGCAGTAGGGTCACCTGAGAAATACCATTACCTTGGTTGGTTATTAGCTAATGGTTACACAACCCAAACAATCGTTATGACATCATAAAGTGTCCACAATCTGATCAGCTCATTTTCAGACAGGTTTTTATATAAATGGATCAGGACAAAAAGAGAGCGAATCTTTTTTCCTGAAACTCTTTACACAGAGGGGACACATGTTGATGTATAACATACATGAAAAAGTGGATTTTGCATAATAGGTGA